GCTTCACAAGAATAAATGAGAACGAGGCTTCAACCAAAGTCCGGTTCTGAGTAGTTCCTTTGTTAAACAAGCAAGGAAAGCCTTTTACTAATGGCGAGTTAATTAAATTCTGTTGGCTTGCAGCAGCTGATGAAAGTATCCAAAGAAAATAAATTAGCCTTTGGCAAGAACAGTTGTTCAAAGAGCCGGAGATATTGGGAGTAACACTGATACTCAAAAAACGAGGCGAATGATTCAGGTGGTTTCCTGGGCTCTTCGCTCTGAAGTCTTCTTTGTTTGCTTCTTCAGCTAGCCAGTCACTCCACCTTTGTTCTGGAAAACTAGTATTTGTATGGCATAGATTTTTACATAACTTTACTTTTTCACTGTGATCGAAAAAACCCCATAAAACTTGGCATCTTAATCATATATTTTTTTAAATTTTATTTATTTTACAGAGAGAGAGAGAGAGAAAGAGAGAGAGAGATCACAAGTAGGCAGAGAGGCAGGCAGAGAGAGAGGGGGAAGCAGGCTCCCCGCTGAGCAAAGAGCCTGATGCAGGGCTCCATCCCAGGACCCTGAGATCATGACCTGAGCCGAAGGCAGAGGCTTAACCCACTGAGCCACCCAGGTGCCCCTCTTAATCATATTTTAATCAATCTTCATATTGTTGTGAAACAGATTTCTAGAACTTCTGCATCTTGGAGGACTCAAACTATACCCATTAAACCACTGCTCTTTTCCTTTTCTCTTCAGTCCCTGGGGAGCACCGTTCTACTTTTTGCTTCTGTGAATTTGACACTTTATTTTTTTTATAAGATTTTATTTATTCATTTGACACAGAGAGAGATCACAAGTAGGCAGAGAGGCAGGCAGAGAGAGAGGAGGAAGCAGGCTCCCCGCTGAGCAGAGAGCCCGATGCGGGGCTCGATCCCAGGACCCTGGGATCATGACCCGAGCCGGAGGCAAAGGCTTTAACCCACTGAGCCACCCAGGTGCCCTGATTTTGATACTTCACGTCATTGGGCACATACAGTGTGGCAGCTCAGTCATGTCCCAACAATTTGTCTTCTTAAATGTTCCACTGCAGGAAGTTTTACTTGAGGCTCATAAGGCAATATTCTAGAGCAGAGCTCAACAAACCTTTTCTGAAAAGGCCCAGATCGTAAATATTTTAGGCATTGCAGGCCAAGAGGCAAAGTTGAGAATATTATGTAGCTATTTACATGACAAGAGAGAAAAATATCCCTAAATTTCTTTACTGAATCCCCTCAGTAAATGTATAAACTACACTATCCCATCATTCCACTGCTTCTACAGTACCTTGCAATTATTCTTTAGGTCACTTACCCACATTTTCACCCCAACACACACTTGTAATTTCTTCTTCTTCTTCTTCGAGTAGGCACCACACCCAACATGGGGCTTGAACTCACAACCCTGAGATCAAGAGTTACATGTTCTACCAACTGAGCCAGCCAGGCACTCCAACTTGTAATTTTAAAAACGTGAATAACATGTCTCAGCTCCACCATATTAATAACTACTCCTTGGTGAAAAAAATAGCAAAGGAGAGTATAATTATGTTTCTAGAGGAAATAAAAAACAGAAGGACAAGTGTAATTATTTAATTGTACATAGTAGGAATGACCTGTACATTTCAGGAAGCAATAGGACTCCCTTGACATTTTTGTGAAGCATGTAGTCATGTCTCAGTTAGAGTGCAGAAACCCTAATTAGAATCCCATAAACAATCAGAGATCACTGAGAATCCAACTTTTTCTTCCCAATAGGGAGTTCATTCATATAGGTGGACTGTGAGCTTTTTATGTGGTTATATTTCACTCTTTGCTTTAGTTGGTTGTAACCCTAAAGGTGAATTTTGGCCCATCTCTAGTGATTCTGGTATGTCCTTTTGTGTATGAACTTTACTCTTGGCTTCTTTTACTCTCAAATGCCTTCTATTTATACTTTGTAGCATGTATTTTGGTAATTTATCACAAATCTTTTCTGGAACACAATGAGATGTAAGTAACTGACCAAATAAATACATGAATACATGAATGGATATACAAAAACTATTATGAATAAAATTAGATGTAGCCATAGTTTAGGCACAGTTTAGGTTCACCCAGCAGTATACTCACTTCATATATGGTCTGTATGTCGCCCTGAGATGGGCAGCCCGAGTAGGGGCCCTGCTACATCTGCTTCTTCCCCCCGCTTTGCCCCAACCACCAAGGTGGTCCCTCCTAGTTGTATATGGCATCCAGATTTTATTTCAAGGAAGGGTTTTGTTGCAACAAAAAGCATCAATCAGGCCGTACACTACACACTCAATACACACGCATCAGCTGGTTGTACTCGTCCAGTGACAGTGTGGGGTCTCCACTCTTCACTTAGTCCTGCAGCCCAGGGTTCAGGATCCAGGCACGGTAGTAGGTCTCTACGGTTGCTTCTCTGACGGCATCTCTAAAGAGGCAGAACGCTGCTTGAACACTATCATCAGATACCTACAAACCTCAGAGGTATTTTAGAGGGTAAAGAAGCAGAGATGACCATTTCTCTAAATCAAAATGAGAGAATCCTCAATAGAGGAAGTAGTGGATCACGAATTCATTTTGCCACTAGAAAGTAGATAGAAATACTGTGATCCGGTAATGCCCACTTGCTCTCCCCTAAGTGCACCAAGCCTTAGCGCCAAGCCTTAGCGGAGGAGAGCGGGTCCTTGGGCTGCCATGTGCTTGGATGTATGTCGCGCACACTGCGCGCGTGCCGGAAGCCGGGACATCTTGCTAGCTGCAATGTTTCAGGATCCATTCTGATTGCTGCTCCCCAGTGAGGCAGGAGGTGTCGATTGATAAGGGACACAAACATTCCATTGCCTTCTTCTTTTTTTTAAGATTTTATTTATTTATTTTAGAGAGAGCGAGCAAGAGTGAACAGCAGAGGAAGAGGGACACACTCGGCACGGAGCACAGAGCTTGATGTGGGGCTCAACCCCACAACCCCGAGATTATGACCTAAGCCGAAATCAAGAGTTGGAGGCTTAACGGACTGGCCTGCCCAGGCGCCCCAACCCACTGCCTTATTTTCTCTCAAAGCTTTGTTCCTATTGCCAACAACAATCACACACTATTGTGTTTAGTTGTACATAGTCCAGTTGGACTGAGTTCCTTAAGGGTCAGGACTTGCATTATCTATCTTTGCATTCCTGACTCCCAGGATATGCATGGCACACAATAAAACAATAATTAGATGAGTCAGAATTACATGAGGTCAGGTCTCACGAGTCCTTTGCTCTACCAGCTATAGTACGCTTAATTATTCAGTGACCAAGTATCAGTGAGCTTCCTTGTGCGAGGTGTCATACCATGCACTGGCTATAACACTTTTGAAATGAGCTATGACTCAGCAGAGAGCCAAACCTAATATGACCCAGCAGGAACCACAGCCTTAGTGGAAATCTTCTTAAAAAAAATCCCACTTTCCTCTCTCATAAGGAGTACCTGTGGAGCCCCAGACTTTATTTTTTTTCCCCTCCATTCTGGGGTCAAGAAAGGGGAGAAGGCACATGACATACCCAGGATCTGCATTCAACGCACTCAACAGGATCCCGTAATAAGACCAAATAATAAACTTTAATTTGAGTATATTACAGTACAATATAATAATTCTTTTAAAGTACAAAAATAATTAAAAATGTTTTTCCATTTGCAAGTCATCTTTGCTACCAACTATAAATAGTACATGGACGTCTTGAACTGTACACATGACGCTACATTCCTCAGCCTCACCCTCTTCTCTCCCCGGTCATCACATATCAGAATAAAAGCACCGCGCAACACGGCTCTGCAATCTTGCACTCTGCCGACATGTTTCAGGAGTAGCTATCCTTAATACAGAATTGGATGGTATCCCTCTTAAACTAGTTCTTATGCTTTTTTGGCTCACTTCTATAGATTAAACACTTTCTAAAAATCAGTTTAAAATTCCAGGAATTGCTATGTTTGGAGTATCTGCTTTTCTCAAAAGACCGGGAAATGGCTGGGAGACGCTAGAGTGTTAAATTCAACAAAAGCTCATTTAAAAGTAAATCACCATCAGTAGAAGAGCTTATCAAGTATAGGAGATTTGAAAATAATCGCAATTAACTGGAAGACAAATTTCATTGCCAAAAGCCACAGAGGTGTTCTGTCTTTTTCCACTACTATGTTTACTAATATTTTGAGCGTTAATAAGAATCACAAGATAATTAGAAAATTAGAGCAGGTTCTGCCCAGCTCGGATCCACCAAGTACCTTAGATGCCGAGAACCAACTACTGAAAAAGTAGGAACAACATTAATGAGAAAGTAGAAGCTTTGGCATACAAAAAATGATGTAATTTTGTTTTCTAAAATTCAGTTATTCACGCCAGTTTGTTTTGACTTGTGCTCCGAACTGATTAGAACTGGGTCTAAGATAAAAGACAGGAACTGAAAGGACCCCTTGCAACTGTCCAGAAGGCAGAGGCTACCTGCAGTCACTGATCTCTCCTGTGCCGCCCCTGGCCCTGGCCCTGGCCCTGGCCCCATTCCTTACAGCTCAGCCACAGTGCATACCGGCGGCACAGGTGCAACCACCGAGGCAATGCTTACGTGAGGTCTCGAAGCTGTCTGCTGTGCTCCAGGAACTAGGACGGACTTTCAGCTCTCATGGTGGATAGGGATGGCTCTACACTTGGTACACCTGTAACGCTGCAGACCTTAAACTTATAGGAACAAAATACATGGTGTAGAAGAAACAAAGGTAATCTGGTACAGAAAAACATGTATGTCTATTTTCTGAAAAATCAGTTGTGAGTCTAAAACTGCTCAGTTGTATAATAGGTATATGTTGCGAGAGCTCAGAAACATGGGGCTGGAATATGCCATGACTTAGGACAGAGTCCAGCCGTCAGGACGTTCCTCAAAGGGCTCTGCACAGTTCTCACTTTGTTATCATTACATTAATAAATAGCCACACTGCCTATATATAATCTTTGTAGCCCTCCTTTCAAAATTGATTTTTATTCAGCACGATATATGAAAAAAAAAAACCCTAACCTATTTTGTTCCCTAAAATATAACGGAGAAGTGACTAATGCAATTTGTATACTATTTCTTGAATACCTTTCAATGTACCACAGAGATTGCTTTCATTAGTACTCACCTTTTAAAAAACTCCACCGCTCCTGTTACCACTGTAACGTTATTTATCATCAGAATTACTGCAAGAGTAATCCCCAGAATTCATTATCTATTAACGAGTTTGATAAAGGATCTTATTGGCTCTCTTAGAATATAGCGCTATTTATAACCTTTGCTCTCCCAATTCAAAAATGCATTATGAAATTCTTTATGGAATTCCCCAGTAAAATGGGATAATGTACAGATGGCTAAGATGAAGATGACAGAATGATGGTGACTCTTGAGCATTAAAGGCATTTGTCATTGCAGCCAGAGGAAAATGCCAGAATGCCAATATTAAAAAATATATGCCATTCTCCTTAAAGTCAGTTAATTATGTAAGAGTTCTCTGAGTATTTTTGGAAGAAAGGCACCAGACAAGTCCAAAGTCTTATTGCTAGTCGGATCATACAGAGGCCACAGGGCAGACCGTGGCACTGAGTTCAGCCAGGAGGCTAGTTCTAAGCAAGTCAGTCACTGATCTTGAGGGTCGAGGGGCAAGGAAGGAAATGTCAAAGAACAGAGCCCTGCGTTTCACATTAAACTTGAGGAAAATGCTTTCCATTTACACATCCAAGTGGTGACTAGTTCCCTCGGACTCTGGAGCCATTTTAGACAGGCACTCTGTTTTCTTTGGCCCATTTCTTCATGATCCGGATGATGTACTCCACCTGGGTGTTACCCGTGCTTCTCAGTAAATGGAGCACTTCTCGAAGGGTCTCTCTGAGGAAAAGATTTGAAAGGACAAAGTGTGTCAATACAGCGTGTGAACTAAGAGGAAAAATGAACTCGTACTTGTTCCTCACATACTTCCAGCAGGACGTCTTCGGTGATAGACTATGTTACTACATATTCACAAGCCAGTTATGAACTTCCAAGCCTTCCATTTTTATGGTGGCATAGTGAAACAGGAATTCTTTCTTTCTTTAAGATTTTATTTATTTATTTATTTGACAGAGAGAGTGAGAGATCACAAGTAGGCAGAGCAGCAGGCAGAGATAGAGGGGGAAGCAGGCTCCCCGCTGAACAGAGAGCCTGATGCGGGGCTCGATCCCAGGACCCTGAGATCATGACCTGAGCCGAAGGCAGAGGCTTAACCCACTGAGCCACTCAGGCGCCCCAGGAATTCTTTCTTTAATTTAAATTCAATTAGCCAACATCTAGTACCTCATTAGTTTCAGATGTAGTGCTCAATAATGTATCAGTTGCATTTAATATCCAATGCTCATCCCATTACGTGCCCTCCTTAATGCCCATCATCCGGTTACCCCATTTCACACCCACCTCCTCTCCAGCAACCCTCAGTTTGTTTCCTAGAGTTAAAAGTCTCTCATGGTTTTTGTGTCTCTCTGTTGACTTCCCATTCAGTTTTCCTTCCTTTCCCCTAATCCTCTGTGTTGTTTCTTATATTCCACATATGAGTGAACCCATATGATAATCGCTTTCTCTGATTGACTAGTTTTGCCCAGCATAATCCCCTCTAGTTCCATCCATGTCAATGTAAATGGTTAAGTAATCATCCTTTCTTTTTTTTTTTTTTTAAAGATTTTATTTATTTATTTGACAGAGATCACAAGTAGGCAGAGATGCAGGCAGAGAGACAGGAAGGGAAGCAGGCTCCCTGCTGAGCAGAGAGCCCAACTTGGGGCTCGATCCCAGGACCCTGGGATCATGACCTGAGCCAAAGGCAGAGGCTTTAACCCACTGAGCCACCCAGGCACCCCAGTATTCATCCTTTCTGATGGCTGAGTAATATTCCATAAAATGGAAATTCTATGAAATCCTCACTAAACCAAGTCTTCCTTATTTACTTATACTATCTATATACATGCTATTAAGTTTTCTGTCCTAATATGACATAAGTATTTCTATTTCTATGTCTATTCTGTATAACCAAGTAGAAAGAGGGTATATCAAGGAGCTGGCTTCAAAGAGTTGGTTTCAAATTCTAGCTCGGTACTAACAAGTTACTTCTCTGAGTCCGAGTACTCCTTTGTTTAAGGTGGTAATCACCAAAAATTGGGTGTCACAGTCATATTTGCAAAATTTTACAAAGCCAGAGGAATGGATGATTTCTTTAAGAAAATTAATATATTAATACATATGGAAGACAGGAACGTTCCGGGCCAAGATTGGGCAAATACCCAGTATTTATGGGTTTTGTTTGTTTGTTTAAGCTCAGCATGGGGCCCAATGTGGGACCTTAACTCATGACACGGAGCTCAAGATCTGAGCTGAGATCAAGAATCGGATGCTTGGAAAAAAAAAAAAAGAAGAAGAAGAAGACTCAGATGCTTGGGGCTCCTGGTGGCTCAGTCAGTTAGGCATCTGCCTTTGGCTCAAGTCATGATCCCAGGGTCTTGGGATTGAGCCAGCATGGGGCTCCTGCTCAGAGGGAATCTGCTTTTCTTTCTCGCTCTGTCCCTTCCCCAGCTTGTACTCTCTCTCTCTAGCTCGATCACTCTGTCTCTCAAATAAATAATATTTTAAAATAAAAAAAAGAATCGGATGCTTAACTGACTGAATCACCCAGAAGCCCCTGCCCAATATTTATATTTTAAGTAATTTAAATTTAATTAAAATTAAAGCTCATGTTTTAAGTAATGCAAACTAAAACTTCCCTATTGCCAAATGTACAGGTGACTGACTATTGATCCTCTTCCCTAAGAGTATATTCGTATTTTCTATTTCTTTTTTCCCTCAAGCATCTTCTTTCACCTAATAAATTCTTTAAATTTGTATTTAGGATTGGAAGTAAATACAAGGCAGGAAGTAATTTTTTAAAATATTTATTTATTTATTTATTTGACAGACAGAGATCACAAATAGGCAGAGAGGCAGGCAGAGAGAGAGAGAAAGAGACAGAGAAGCAGGCTCCCCACCAAGCACAGAGCTCGATGCGGGGCTGGATCCCAGGACCCTGAGATGATGACCTGAGCCGAAGGCAGAGGCTTTATTTAACCCACTGAGCCACCCAGGCAACCTCGGGAAGTAATTTTTGACAGATTATTTATGTACAAAAAATAATCACATCTCCTATTCATTTACCAGTAACAAATACATTCCACAAAGTTATTTTTGGAAAACCAAATTTAGGGCACCTGGGTGGCTCAGTGGGTTAAGCCTCTGCCTTCAGCTCAGGTTATGATCTCAGGGTCCTGGGATTGAGCCCCGCGTTGGACTCTGCTCAGCGGGAAGCCTGCTTCTCCCCCATCTCTCTCTGCCTGCGTCTCTGCCTACTTGTGATCTCTGTCAAATAAATAAATAAATGAAATCTTAAAAAAAAGAAAACCAAATTTAGTTTTAAGTATTTTCATTTTTGTTACAAGTGGAGCTGTATGCTATTTAATTTTATATAATCTACTGTCTTGGTACTTCCTGGAATATGGGAAGGTGAAAGAAAAAAAAAGAATTATCAACCATACCCACTCCATTCCTAATTCTTTGAAGCCTAAATTAAAAGACATGAAAAAGCCAATAGGCAAAGGAAAGAATAGAAGAGATTGAAAAAGACTTCTATGAAAATGACAATTCATTTGGATCCAAATATAGATATTGCTTTTATATTTGAGAGCTATAGTATGCTCAATGTCCCTAGTACATATGATTTAGAATGACCTGATTTTACAACATGAAAAATTTCTGGAGCAAAAAGGTCATATAGAAATATGAAACATCTTAATCTTCTATTCATCAGGAAACATCATTATAGTTTTGGGTTTTTAGAAGATGGCATCCAAGAAAGCAATTCTTTTCCCTCACAAACCTGCAAAAGAACAGAGGTAGTGTCTCTTGTCTGATTACTTACTTGGGTTCTCTTCCAGCTAAGATCATCTGGAAAATGCCCACACAGGCACCCCTCTTGCCTTCCCAATATTCAGGGTTGGGATCCAGCCTCTCTAGGACATCAAAAGCTTTGGCTGAATAGTAGAACTGGCCCATCTGATTAAAAGAAAATATTGTGATAATACTTATATTCAAAAGATTGCACAGAATGAAACTAAATGTAAAGATACCATTAAAAAGAACAGTATAAAAAAGTGTATGGTTAGTGATAACATTATCGGTTAGCAAACTAGATAGAACTTCAATTTCTTATTAAAACAAAAAGGAAACTCAATTTGAGACATGGTTCGATTTACATCAACTTACCTTCATCCAGTTTTCAACAATATTTTTTTCTACATACAGTCAAATTATGCTGTAATCAACACATTTATCATTTCTTCTAATTATAGTATGATCTTGATAAACTGATTTGAGCAGGGTATCTTTCCGGTTTCCTTCATAGATTTTTAGATGACTATTATCATTCATTTTATGCTAATCTGATCAAGTTCAACCCAAGAGAACATTATTTTCCCTGACCTTGTTCCTAAATTCTCAAAATGCCTAGATGGATACTACTAAACACCAAATCTTCTAAATGTTTAATTCATTTTGACAGACCTCTTTCCCAGATATATGACACATTTCCTTGGCCTCATAGTGCATGTCTAATACCACTAAATTCTCTTTAGACGAGTTTTTTTTTCTTTCTTTTTTAAAAAAGATTTCATTTATTTATTTGACAGAGATTGAGAGAGCACAAGCAAGGGGAGTGACAGGCAGAGGGAGAGGGAGAAGCAGACTCCCCGCTGAGCAGGGAGCCTGATGCGGGGTTCGATCCCAGGTTTCTGGGATCACTCTGGGATCACGACCTGAGCCGAAGGCAGATGCTTAATCGACTGAACCACCCAGGTGCCCCTAGATGAGTTTTGTTGACCGGCCATTATAAATGTAGTGTTGCCATTTCGCTGAAGGCTTCAAACTACTGGGCCATCGCTCTTGTTCAGGGTGGTTGAATTACCTCTCCATTCCTGTAAACTGTTGTTCTAAACCTTTGCCAATTTCCTGAAAATCTCTATTGCACTCTTAGCGTTTTTCTGTCTTTCAGGGAAAACACAACTTTCCTCCCTCCAGTTCAAATTATATTTGTATTCTTATTGATCCTTCCCTCATTTCTGCCCATCTCACAGGAAGAAATGTTCTTATTACTTTTCAAGGTTAATCCTTCTTCCTATGACCTATTCAAATTACTTTTGGTGAAATAACAATGTGAACAGTGAAACACAAATGTACAGTTTAATGCCTATTACCTGAATGCAAATGTAACCATCACCTAGGTCAAGAAACAAGACTTTGACAGCAAAACAGAAGCTCTGTGTTTCCCTTCCAGACCACAACCTTCTCCTTCCTTCCGGAAGCAACTACTATTCCAACTTTTTTGGTCATCAGTTTTTGACTGTCAAAATCTTTGGCTTTTTCTTTTACAGTTTTATGTATATACCTTTAGACAATATAATTAAATTTTGCCTCTCAAAATTTTATCTCTGTGAATACCATAAATATTCTTTTTTGTCTTACACATGTTAAGATGCATCTATATTGCTGGATATAACTCTGGTTCATTTCTTAGAACATTTTATTTTGAAATAATCCTAGATTTACAGGAAATTATGAAGATAGTACAAAGAAGTCCCATGTTCCTTTCACCCAATTCCCGCAGTTACAGCTTACCTTAGTGCAATATCACAGGATCGAAACCAGGAAGTTGACATTGCTACAGTGCGTGCGTATAGTTCTGTCATTTTATCAAATGTGTAGACTCACGTAACTAGCATTGCTATCAAGATACAGAACTATTCCATCACCACAAGGCTGTGCTACCTGTAAATAGTCAGTCATGTGTGCTCCCCTCCCTGCTCACCAGCCCTAACCCCCGGCAATCACCAATTTGTTCTACATCTCTACAATTCTATAATTTCACAAATGTCATATATACATATATATATGAAATCAAGCAGTACAGGACCCTTTGAGATTGGCTTTTTCACTCAGCATAATGTCCTTGTTATTCCTTGTTAATCCAAGTTATTTTGGTACAGCATAGGAAATATAGTCAATGGTTTATAATAGTGTATGGTGACAGATAGTAGCTACACTTGTGAGCATAGCGTTGTTGAATCACTATGTTGTACACCTGAAACTAATGTGATATTGTGTATAACTATACTTCAGTTAAAAAAATCTGAGTTATGGAATGCCTGGGTGGCTCAGTCAGTTAAGTGTCTACTTTCAGCTAAGGTCATGATCCCAGGGTCCTGGGATAGAGTCCAACATAAGGCTCCTTGCTCAGCAGGGAGCCTGCTTTCCCTCCATGCGCTGTTTCCCCTGCGTGTGCTCTCTCTCTCTCTCTGACAAATAAAGTTTAAAAAAAAAAAAAAGATAGTTGGGGTTGCCTTGGTGGCTCAGTTGGTTAAGTGTCTGCCTTCGGGTCAGGTCATGGTCCTGGGGTCCTGGGATCAAGCCCCGCACTGGGCTCCCTGCTCAGTGGGGAGTCTGCTTCTCCATCTCCCTCTGCTGCTCCCCGACTGGTGCTCTCTCTCTCAAAGAAATAAATAAAATCTTTAAAAAATAAATCTGAGTGGGGCGCCTGGGTGGCTCAGTGGGTTAAGCTGCTGCCTTTGGCTCGGGTCATGATCTCAGGGTCCTGGGATCGAGTCCCGTATCGGGATCTCTGCTCAGCGGGGAGCCTGCTTCCCTCTCTCTCTCTCTCTGCCTGCCTCTCCATCTACTTGTGATCTCTGTCAAATAAATAAATAAAATCTTTAAAAAAAATTAAAAAAAAAATAAAAAAAATAAAAAAAAATAAATCCGAGTTACTGTGTGTACCAATAGTTTGCTCCTATTATATAACTCTGAAAAAGCAGGTGGAACCTCCACCCAAAGTTTGGTTTGTATGTCAAGAGCGATATTGCCACACCCAGAGAGCATGGTAAGATTTATTACTTATATAATTGAGGCCCGCGGGGGAAAGTAGGCCAGGCCTCTCAAGCAGGTTCAAAATGGCCTGAGAGAGCAAGCAAGAAGACTGGATGGGTTTTTATTGTGGTTGGGGGTGTGGCTGGGATGAGGTTCCCAAGCAGGAACAGGGGCTTGTGTGGTTTGAACCACTTGATGGCATCAGAGAGGGACTAGCACTTCTTATCACTTTGTCCAGATGTGGGGCACAAGGGGAAGAGGAAAAGGTGAGGCTTAAAAGCTGTCAACAGTCAAACATCAAGAAATGGAGTCAGGCTTATCATCACCATTCCTGTTTATTAATGAATAGTAGTCCATGCCAAACCAGTTTGTTAACCATTCACTACTGTAGGACACTTGGATTACTTCCAGTTTTTGGTTATTACAAATAGAGCTGCTGTTGACATTGGGAATAGGTATTTGTGTAGACACAGGGTTTCATTTCTTTGGGATAAATGCCCAGGAAAGTGATTGCTGGATCATATGTTAAGCATATGTTTGTTTGTTAACAAAACTGCCTATTTCACAGTATATTATCTTTTTCATCTTTTTACTTTCAACCTACTTATGTCATTGTATTTGAAGTGAGTTTCTGGTAAAAAGCACATAGTTTAGTTATGGTTTTTTATCCACTTTTTTATCCATAAAAGTCAATGTCTGTCTTTTAATTGGTATATTTAGACCATTTACATTTAATGCAATTATTGCCATGTTAGTACTTAATTCTGCCATTTTTTTTTTTTTCCTATTTGCTTTTTCTGTTTTTCCTGGATATCTTGCACATGTCTCTGTAGTTTGCAGCTGGAGAAAGATGTGATTGTGCAATTAGCAGAGAGGGAGGGCAAAAAAGTCTAGGCTTCACTTCTCCAGTCTTCTCCTATACATGTCTTTTTCTTGCCTTTTCTGTATTATAATAAGTCTTAGCCACAAGTGTAACTTTGAGTCATGTGAACCCTTCCAGTGACTCACCAAAGCAGTGGGTGGCCATGGGACCACTGAGACAGTAGGTTATGCTAAATTGTTTTTCAAGGTAGTTATCTTCCTTTGGTCTTTACCTCATCTTCCTCTCATCTCTTTTAGGGTCTTCCTCCATCAGAAATGTTCCTACTCTCTTGGATCTTTAAACTCACTGTTCAACAGCTCCTCTGTGTAAAGATACACTCTTAACTTCTATTCTAAAAGAAAAAAACTCTCCCTCCACCTGCAAAAATACTCCCCAACCCCAAATCCATAACTTTGTTTTCCCTTTTAAGTTAGCAACACATTTCTCCCTTACTGTGGTCTACACTCACTGAGTCTGCTTTCTAATCTCATTCTCTTCTCTACCCACTATTGTTTTCTCAAATCTCATACAGCTCCATCAGGTTGCATATTTGACATCCTCTTTTCCTGGCTTTGGATATAACAGGAACAAGAAAAACAGGAATGAAGAGTACTTTTCTCCCCCTCCCGGTTCTTCTCTTTCTTTTATGTCCATCTTCACCCTCTGTCTCTGTCACTCTACCTATCCTTTAAGCACTGGTGTCCATGTGTTTCCTCATCCCATTCACTGGTTAACCTCAATTCTCTCCCATCCTCTACTGCTTCTGCTACTCCTATTACTCCTAATACTATCACCACCACCACCATTAACTACTGCTAACTTTTTTTCCCTCTCTCTTTCTCTTTTTTTTTTTTTTTTTTTTTTTTTAAGAGAGAGCATACACATGGGTGGGGAAAGGGGAGGGGCAGAGAGGAGGGAGGAGAGGAGAGAGAGAATCCTAAGCAGGATCCATGCCCAGCACGCGGAGCCAATTCCATGACCCCGGGATCATGACCTGTGCCAAAATCAAGAACTGGATGCGTAACTGACTGAGCAATCCAGGTACCCCTATTAACTTCTAAAACTATATTTCTAATCCTGACCTTTCACATGAACACCTGAGCTCCAGGCTCACCCTGATAATTTCCCACATGTACTATCTCTCCCCAGAGCCACAAACACACTTCAGATTTAATATATTTACAACTGAACTAAAGGTAAAAAGGTAAATCTCTCTGAATGTTTTCTTTCCCTCTGCCTCCTCTAACTCACTGAATGTCATTTGCATCTACTAAGTCATGTTAAGCATTTTTAAGTTTCCTATGTTTTAAAACCTTTTCCAGTGATGGTGATTTGCTTTATTTTAGTAATGATTCACTTCAAAATGAGCTATTATTAATTAATTTAACACTAGACTCTATTTACTTAACATCTGTTCTGTCTTTGGACAGAAAGAAATATTCCAAAAAAAGGAATTTCCAGAATTTGAGGCTAATTTGTCAAAAAGCTTTTTATCTATAGGCTAGGACCCAAAAGTCCTCCCTCCTTCTCCCTTCCTTTCCAACTCCAGCCCCACCGCCACACACACATACACAGACCCACTCCCGCATACACACATAGAGTCCCAGTCCTTTACTAAATCTGATTGCTTTTTTATTCTCTTTTTCTAGTTCCTTTGTCTCTCCTGCCTACAATTTGCACTTAAGTATTCCCCAACGTTTGGTTTGCAACTCTTACTCTTCTCACTTTTCTTCCCTACCTGGGTAATCTACCAGGGCTTTAATTACTATTGAAATGCTGATGAGTTCTCCAAATCTATGTCTCTAGATGTCGGAAGACATCTTTCTTGAGCTTCAGAACCAAGTTTCCAACTACCAGATGAATATCTCTACTTGGATGGTATCTGAAGACTCACACACGACCTTTAGAAATCTAAAACCACCTCTCTAAATCATTGTTTCATATATATTGTTTCATATTTCATTTTTATGTATACATACTTGATATACATGTAAAACCCTGAGATGCTATCTCTGAGCTCATTTTGTTCATAAAGGGATGACATTCCATTTTCTTTTTTAAAAATTTTATTTATTTATTTAAGCTCCCAACATGGAGCCCAACACGGGCCTGAACTTGTGACCATGAGATCATGACCTGAGCTGAGATCATGAGTCAGCCACCAAACCAACTGAACCACCCAGGTGCCCCTAAAGATTTTATTATTTTTTTAATACTTTATTTTAAAGATTGTATTTATTTATTTGACAGACAGAGATCACAAGTAGGCAGAGAGGCAGGCAGGCGGTGGGGCTGGGTGGGGGGGAAGCAGGATCCCCGCTGAGCAGAGACCCTGATGCGGGGCTCGATCCCAGGATCCCGGGATCATGACCTGAGCTGAAGACAGAGGCTTTAACCCACTGAACCACTGAAACACCCCCAAAGATTTTATTTTTAAGTAATCTCTACACCCAACGTGGGGCTTGAAGTCACAACCCTGAGATCAAGAGTCCCATGTTCTTCCAACTGAGCCAGCTGGGAGCCCAGGGATAACATTTCTGGTAGTTCTATGTGAATCCTCTTACCAAAGGCCATTTAATCTCTAGGACACTTCTCCCTAATAATTAATTAGTGTAGCATGTGAGACTAATCTTCAGTTTTCCCTTTAGCTCTCACTCAGACTCACCTTGTAGCAGTCATTAGCAATGAGCTGTAAGAGGCTAAACGACTCGCCAGAGGTTTCCATCTTAAGATAAAGTTCCCAGGCTAGTCTTGGTTTCTTGTTCATGATATCTACAAAAGGAAGGAAAGATTTTTGCCTCTTAAATGTATAGGAAATACAATTCTGCATCTTGCTATTCTTTGGCTTTGGTTCTAGTTTCCAAACAGACAAAGAAATGGTAAACATCACTCACGTAGAAAGTTTGCAATGTTAGCATTAAGCTGATTCTCCATCAGAACTCTACCATATGTACAATACTTAAGTTAGGATTCACATGATTATATCTTTCTAGACTGGGTTGATTTCCAGTTGGTCCCTTTGCTCATCTGTTTAAACGTCATATATCATTCATTCAACCCTACTTATATAGTTTCAGCCTCACTTAGAACACCGATTGCTGCTTTCTCCTGATTTTAAATACTCTGTGAACATTTGAAATGCAGGGGGAAAAAAAGAAGCAAGAAAAGATAATGAAGGGAGAGGGAAAGAGACTGTAGGTTACATAATATACAAAATGTTATGTTTTTGACATTTTATCACTTCTCAGGCCTGCTTCATAATGAAAAGGTAAAATTAGCAAAACAGTATCACTTAACAAAGAACCCTGTAGGCTGACATTCTGGAAACTTTAACAGGGCTGATAGAAAAACTTGGCATCTTTCGTGACTGTTCATGCTAGCTCAACATCGTTATGGTAGAACTAATCACAAGGTAAACGTACATAATACATGAACAGGACCACCCTCACAGAGCAGCATTAATGATGCTCAATTTCAGTGTTTACTCATTCTACAAAACAAAATTAGAAATCTTCACTGTGATTTCCATCCAGAAGATTATGCAACAGAGAAGAAAAAGAGGATTCCTCTGTAACATTTAAAAGAAGACTCACAGCACCGAGCCAACCAACTGAGGTAAATGTAATCATTTTTCATCTTCTCACTTTGGATTAAAAGGAAAACCTGCAAGAAGAAAAAAAAGAAATAAATATGAAGATATTTTTGTCGTAAAAATACCTTATCGGCTTGCCTTAGGTTAATACTTAGTGTCGCCTTCCAGATGGTCAAATTCTCTACATGCCAAGAAAAGGACAAAACTGTGGTGATGTTGACACACTACTCTCAGTTACTGATCTCACAAGCTGGCCGAAGAAATTTGGTAAGGATATAGAAGATTTGAACAGAATAATTAACAACCACATAACACCTATTTTGTTCAAGGATACATAATCATGTTACTGGGCAGTAAAGCAAGTCTCAACAAATTTTGAAGGACTGGTGTAATACAGAGCACACTGGATGACCATAATATGATTAAGTTATAAATCAAAATGAAATAGTCTGGGACACATTTGAAAATTTGACACACGTTTTAAAATAACTCACAAAGAAGACATAATGGAAGGTAAAAATAATAAGAATTTGAAATAATAAGTGGAACATCTTGCTAAATAATAACAAAATCTAATTGAGTAATTCAACTGAATTGCTTTGATTCAGGAAAATCAATTCATGGAGTTAGAAGTCATAGTGGTTAGCCTTGGGAGAAAGGGACGGACTCAAACAATGAGATGACAGGGTTTTTATAGGGTTAAGGTAATACTGTTTCATGATCTAAGGACAGATTATTTGGGTATGTTCACTTTAAAAATTCATCAAGCTGTATACTTTGATTTGGATACTTTTCTCAATGTATGTTATGCTTTTATAAAATAGAGCAGAAAAAGGAAAATAGTAATATGGTTAAAAAATCTATATGTCCCTTCACACTGTACTTCTTAATGTAACCTAAGGACAAAGGAACTTTTCATAATCCTTTGCCCCTGAACATTTTATTTCAGTGAGAAAGAGATAAAAATGTTATATTTTTTCAAGTTTTATTTAAATTCCAGTTAGCTAATATGTGGTGTAATATTACTTTCAGTTGTAGAATTCAGGGATTCAACACTTTACAACACTCAGTGCTCAGCACAAGTGCACTCTGTAATTCCCATCACCCATTTAGCCTATCCCTCACCCCTCCCCTCCAGCAACCCCCAGTTTGTTCTTTATTGTTAAGACTGTTTTATGGTTTGCCTCTCTTTTTTCTTCTTTCCTCTATGTTCATCTATTTTGTTTCACTCTGGAAAACAGTATGGGAATTCCTCAAAAAGTTAAAGGATAATCATGTTTTTAAATAGAAACATTTGAATTCATCAAAAGCATGTACCCGGGGCACCTGGGTGGCTCAGTGGGTTAAAGCCTCTGCCTTCGGCTCAGGTCATGATCCCAGGGTCCTGGGATCGAGCCCCACATTGGGCTCTCTGCCTTGCAGGAGCCTGCTTCCTCCTCTCTCTCTCTGCCTGCCTCTCTGCCTACTTGTGATCTCGGTCTGTCAAATAAATAAATAAAATCTTTAAAAAAAAAAAAAAAAGCATGTACCCACCTCTTCGCCCTCACTTGTATTGCCTGTGGCAGCTTTGGCTTGGGCATAATTAAAGTTAAAGATGTCATCGTTGTAGAAGTAACTCTGAAAAACATCCCAAGAATAAGTCACATTGAATATTAACATACCAATATAACATATCAGTTATACTAGATAAACTCAAAAATAATTTTAAGGAATTAGCTGACACCATCGATGCCACTGTAGTAAAAGGGCCACCTCTAAAAGTTTAAGATTTTATTTATTTATTTATTTTAAAGATTTTATTTATTTATTTGACAAAGATCACAAGTAGGCAGAGAGGCAGGCAGAGAGAGAGGAAGGGAAGCAGGCTCCCCGCTGAGCAGAGAGCCCGATGTGGGGCTCGATCCCAGGACCCTGAGACCATGACCTGAGCCGAAGGCAGAGGCTTTAACCCGCTGAGCCACCCAGGTGCCCCTATTTATTTTTTTTTTTAAGATTTTATTTATTTATCAGAGGGAGAGAGAGAGCACAAAGCAGGGGGAGCGGCAGGCAGAGGGAGAAGTAGGCTCCCTGCTAAGCAAGGATCCCAAATGTGGGACTTGATCCCAGGACTGATCATGACCTGAGCCGAAAGCAGACTCTTAACCAGCTGAATCACCCAGGCGTCCCTCTAAAAATATCTTACTTCTGACACATTATATATAGTATTTTGTAGACAAACTCATCTAAAAAATTCTATACTGACCTTAAATGAGTTGAGGTAAATCAAGACATCATCAAATTGCTTAAGCAGAAAGAAACAGGAAGCCATGCACTGCCTCCCAGGTATTGTATCTGAAATGGAATGGGAAAATAAACTTATTAAACTTATTCAGGTATATTCATGAAACTGAAAGTTCTCTTTGGCTGAAATTTTGGTTACTTTATAATTTAGAGATAGGAATGTACTACAAGACATCTCTCCAGATTCTGAAATTACAGATTCTATTCAGGGGACAAAACCTCAGTATAATGGAGGTTACTGTACTTGAGAGTAACCAATAATCTCTCTCAGGGCTAACACACAGACTCCAGAATGAACACACACCATGCAGGATACAGTATTCCTCAGATGTTCTTCCAAGGCTTTGAGTCTCTCACCCACTCTGACACATGCACATTCAACTATCATGTCTTCGTCTCCATCATCACTCATCTAAGACAATCTAGCACTTCCAGTCTCAAATGGAGAAATCATTTGCCATGGAACCATCTGGTCCAACTTTCTGTCTGTTATTAGATTCCTGTTTCAGATAGTAGAGAATGAGTATAACCCCTCACCCTTGGCACTGGCACTCCTATTCATTCTTGCTCTGTTCAATTTTTCCCCCGTAGCACTTATCACAGTCAGATATACTATATAACCGCTTTCTTTATTGTGTTTATTGTCTGTCCAACTGGACTGTATGCTCTACAAGGATGGAAGACTTATTTTGTTTACTATATTCCCAACACTTCAATAAATTTTTGTTGTATGAATGAGTCAAATGAAGAAAGGAAGTATTATTCAATAAATGGTTTTGGTGAAACATCTGAAAGAAAATGAATATCCGGGGGTGATAAAAATGTTTCACAACTAGTTCACCACAAATACTGTTCATGCTGGCCCTAGACAACTGGTACAAACAGTCATACCAGTCCATACTGGCTAACTATCAGCCCTTTTAATAGCCTTTTCTGAAATCTTACACTCAATCTTGACCGATTAAATCAATACTTTAATAATAAAATAAAGCAACAAACTACTGATGGAAAATATAAGTGAATATTATATAACTGTGGGGGCATGAAAGCACTTTCTAAGCTAGATACCCATGTAAAATATCATTTTAAAAAGATAAGCTTCAATAAGATTTAAATATTTTACATCTGAAAAGATAGCATAGGCAAAATTAAAAGGCAAATGATCCACGAAAAAATATTCATGACATGATGAAAGTTGAACATATAAAGAGCTCTTGAAAAATCAATAAAAGTTAACATTTCAAATAAAAAACAGAATCCAATTTTATAAACCCGCATGAACTAAAGATTACACTTATTCTCTTCTATTTATATAATCTCTCATCCCACTTGAGCTGAGATGTTGAGACGATCTAACCCAATATTCTCTCTTCTATCTCTCCCACAGAACTTCCTACTTGATACTTTGATACTTTGCTTTCAAGGCTGACAAATGTAACCCTGAACAGAGACTCAGCCTTCACCAGTCAATATATGACCGACTCCAATTATGAATCATGTGAATGAGTATTGATTTCAGACATACCACACTCACTCGCTGACCCTCCCACCAGCTGGAAGAACTGCTGGGCAATTTTCATATGGTCCCTCTGAAAAACAAAGCAGAGCTGAGATAGCTGACAGAAACTGAAAATGTTTTATTTGTATCACACATTATAGTTTTAAAATATGTGCCAAGATTTAAGATATATCCTTGTCTTATATCCTCTCCCAAACAAACTCTTATTAGCAAAAGCACTAGAGAATCATAACCTGAAACTAAATTAAAACCTACCCTGGGTCAGATAAAAAAAAGAAGAAAAAAAAAATCTGATCCCCAAACTCTATCCTAAAAAGTAACTTCCTTAAAGGACTCAGTCATTTAGTCATTCATTCACACATTCAACAGATACTTACTGCTCTTTTATCATACATCAGATCTTGTGGTAGGAGCCATGATTGTAAAAAGGACTATTAATTCAAAACACTCATTCACTTATTCAATAACTATTTACCGCCTATCCATTATATGAGGCACTGCAGAGTGAGCAAGACATAAAAATATTTATTTATATCTACTTTGTTTCCCAAAAGGACTTAATGTGCCATAGTCAGATGAAAAAGAACTTAATTTTAAACAGTGTTTTGGTGTTTATAAAAGTATTTGCCAAAGAAACAATTATCTCCATTTTACAGATGCCAAAATTATAGCTCAGGGGTCGGCAGGGTTAACCAAACTCACTAAAAATAAGAATGAAGCTATGCAACGATTTTCAATTATTATTAGATATAAATGCTGCTTAAAATTTGGGCTTTTAAAAGATGAAGCAGCAATTTTAGGGTTAAAGCTTTCTCTCTCTCTCTTTTTTTTTTTTTTGGTCTTTAAATAACAGAATTCTTTTTATAGTGGAACCTAGGTTGGGGAATATGGAGAAAGGAAAGGAACTGCAGATAAGCCTATTTGTAAGCTCACTGCTGATTAAACTTTAACATTCATCTTGATATTTTCCATACATTATAACTGCAACTATAGATTACCAGTGATTTCATACTCACCGAACCCATTTCCTGGCCAAGGGCCGCATTGACCACTCCTTTGAGGATATACTCCTGGCAACATAGAATAACACTAATTAATTCCCAAAGAATGTGTAGCTATGAAATCTTTTTCAAATAAATTTCAACTTGCTGCTTTACATATATTACCAAAAGTTACCCAGAGTCATTTTTCTCTGTTCTATCCCTGGCTTGAATGAAAGAATTAGGAGAATTTCATTTGGTTTTCAGGAAAGTGTCCATATAACGGAATTTGCCATATTTGTAAATTCACCATATTGGTAAATTTGTAAAGTCTTAAGCAGAAAAACTCAGTGGAAACCTCGAGAAGTTTTATTTCAACTCAATGGAAAAAATTAACAATAAAACATTTATGTAATAATTTTTATCACTTTATTAGCCACTGCCATTCTTTATAACCACATCATATATATCATCTCCATTTCTAATCATATAATAACTTTTATTTGCTAATAATCCTTTTCCTAAAGAAAAAAGTATCCTCTGATCTCCATTTGTAAGATATTATCTCTTTTGGAGCCCTGGAGTCTCACCTTTATTGCTTTCAGACTTGGCTCTATTCTTTAACAGACACTTTCCTTAGCAGCTTTATAAATTTTTTATGTAGGTACTATTTTATTTAAGAGGTTTCATAAAAAGAGCAGTACAAAAGATGCTGAAACTTTTAATCTTTTAATACACTTGAGAAAATATATCTGTTTAGATTTCATGGGGTCTGGAAAATTTTCAGTCTTTCATTCAGTAAGTGCAATGTCTGTTACATGCTTAGTGTACACAGTGTTGGAAATACAAACAGACACAGGCCCTGACTGCAAAGAGCTAACAATGTAGTAGGGGAGAAAGAGAAGCTGCAATTATACCAGTGAGATAAACTTTGATATCTTGTTGGTTCCATCAGCATTTTAGATTTCAGTTTTTTCAAACCTCAACCCTTCAGTGGAAATGACCACATATAAGGGAGTTTAAAAACATGAAAAAGTCCAGAATGTTCGTTCTCATATCGAAAGTCTCACAGGACATTCCTAAATCAACATATATGGTCTTTCCTGAGATTCTACAAGTCAGAATCTTCTCAAACATGCCTTCCTGATACCCTTCTGAAATTCTACTTTCAACAGAAGTTGGTTAGCAAAATGGTAACACATTTTCAATTACCTGAGGAGTAGTAGGTTCCAGATCCTTAATTAAGTTATAAGCTTCTTGTACATCATCTGAAATGCAAGAAATAAGTAGCTATACTAGTCTGTATTCCACAGCAAACCCTTCTGAAACAGTCCCAAAAAGGTAAGATCCTTCAGCATTCAAACATTCATGGGAGGTATGATTTGTTTTATCTGTCCTCTAACTCTCCATCAAGTTCAATGTGGAATAATTATCCTAAAGATAACCAAGTATCTTAGGAAACCTGTAAGTCATGAAGCACCTAAAAAAATGTTCAAGCTAAGAATATGGACTGAGTATTATAAAGCAATGGTGTTGTAGTTATATAAGTAAAACAACTGATTTTTAAAAAACACAATATATGTTAAGAATGTAGAAGTGAAATGACATGAAGTTTGAGATTTGCTTTAAGACGTTTCAGCAGTAAAAAGGGACAAGCAGGATGGATGAAAGAACGGCAATATTTTGAAGACTGCTGAATCTGGAATGATTTATTTTGTGTGTTCATATTATTTTGCTTAGTTTGAAAAATTTTATAATAATTAATTTCTGAAATATATAAGATATTTAACTCTGGTCCAAATGCCTATTTCTTTGTGCTTACATATCAGATAGAACTCTTTGCAAGTTCATGTTATTTTAATATACACTTACATTTCCCTCGATGAGGAATATGTTGTCTGGTTGGTTTCTACCATGCACCTATAAAGGCCCACACTGCTAGTCCAGGGCCCACAACACAGTGCCACCACCAATGCATGGTAGCTCCTATCCTGTACTCGACACTGTTAGATCCAAGACTGCTTAGGCGCATGTCTAACAATTTTAACCTTACTTGGGGGGAGTAAATATCCCAGTCTCTTTGAATCAGAGTATTTCTCATAAGAAGCCAGAAGTACAAAGAAACAGAAAGGCAGACAATTAGAGCAAACACCATTAAAAAAAAAAAAAAAAACAAACTCAAGAAAATGTGGATGTGCATTATACATAGAAAAAGAACCATAAGGAAGGGGAAGGAAAAACAGTAGAAAAACTGAAATAGAATGGGTAGAGAACAAAGGACAGAAAAAGAAGAGGAAGAAAGAAAAACAATGAGAGAGAAGGTCAGAAGCAAAAGAAGAGGAAAGAGAGGATTAAGAGAAAAGGCACAACAAATAAGCACCAATAAATTTGTTCTCTCCTATGAACCCGTTGCAAATATATTTTTGGAAGTATTATGGATTTTAAAAGTTAAGCAAGTAATTCAGTTAGAGGTTAAATGCTCTCAAATATCTCATTATAAGCAAGACCAAAGACAAATTTTTCGTACCTTGACGAAGGTAATAAATCACTAAGTTTAACCGAGCTTCGGGAATGACATCAACCAGAGGAGGCAAAACCTGCAAAGCCCCTTCACCTCCTCGGAAAACAACCTAAAGATAGAGAAAGTCAGTTATTATGGCAATAAGTATGAATATATTTATTGGTGGAAATGTTTAATTAAGGAGTTGCCACTTATAACTGGGTACTCAGTTATTCTTTCAATATATTTTTGAAGCTCTCAGTATACACACCACCTTGACCCCATTGAAAGCAGGCTATTAACTTAATTATAGTAAGTGTAAGAAACAGAATAAAGGCATAAGCCTACTGTATACATTTCCTTTTCTCTTCATAAGAACTGCAGAAAACTCTTTAAAGTACCCCAAAATTAATAAAACATTTTCCTAGACAGATATTTTGTATCAAAAGCTCCAAGAAGGGGGCGCCTGGGTGGCTCAGTCAAACATCTAATTCTTCTTTTTTTAAAATGGCTTTATTTATCTGAGAGAGAGAGAGTGTGCACGTGCATGCACAAGCAGGGTTAGAGGCAGAGGAAGAAGAGGCAGAAGCAGACTCCCTGCTGAGCAGAGAGCCTGATTCCAGCACCTTTAGATCATGACCTGAGCCAAAGGCAGAGGCTTAACCAACTGAACCACCCAGGCTCCCCATGTATCTAACTCTTGATTTTGCCTCAGGTCATGATTTCAGGGTTGTAGGATCAAGCCCCACGTCGCGCTCCGCCTCGCATGGAGTCCAAGTGGGATTCTCTCTCTCCCTCTCTCTCCTGCGCTCCCTGCTCTCTGTCTCTTTTTTTCTAAAGACAAATGAACAAATTCTATGAAGGAATTTATATAACCTTTCTGAGCCTGTTTCCTCATCTCTAAATGGCATTAATAATGCCTACCTATCAGGATTATTATGAGGGTTGAATGAGTTAAAGTGGGCTAAATGTGTGGAACGTAGTAGGTAATATTTAATTAACACAGTAAACACTCATTAGCACCTACTGTATGCATGGGATTGTAGTAGGCACTGGGGTTACAGCAGGAATAATCACTCCCGTCACTACATAGGCTACACTCAAGTGGGGAGACAGCCTCAAACAGCAAACACGTAAGTATTACTTCAGTTGACAGTAAATGCTATAGAGAAAAGCTAAAACAAAATACCATTCAGTAAAGCAGGTTTGTGTGCTCTTGTATACCCAGAACCTAGGACAGTGTCTAGCACATAGCAAGTTTTTTCACAAATAAATATACAGAAATCAAGGCCATCAGATATGAACTACCTAATCTCTCCTTTCTAACTAAAAAATATCCACTTGGTCAGCTTTCTTGATTCTTCTTTGTCTGAGATGTTCCCGTCTTTTGCTAAGGTTAATTTTTTTTGTCTTCTTGATCTCCAGACTTTAAAAAAATTAATTCCAGATAAATTAATATACAGTGTTATATTAATTTCAGATGTACAATATAGTAATTCAACAATCCTATCCATTACTCAGCGCTCATCATGATAAGTGTAATCTTCATCCCCATTACCTATTTCTCCCCTTCCCCCATCCGCCTCCCTTCTGCTAATCACCAGCTTGTTCTCTAAAGTTAAGAGTCTGTTTCTTGGTTTGTCTGTTTTTATTTTGTTTCTTAAATTCCACGTATGAGTGAAATCATATGGTATTTGTCTTTGACTAACTGACTTATTTCACTTGGCATTATACTCTCTAGATCCATCCATGCTTTCCCAAATGGCAAGATTTCATTCATTTTTATGGGTGAATAGTATTCCGTGGTAGCCATTGGACTCTATTGTATCCATTCTTCTTTATCTGTTCATCTATTGATGGACACTGGGTTGCTTCCATATTTGGCTATTGTAAATAATGCTGCAAAAACCATAAGGGTGAATGTATTTTTTTGCATTAGTGTTTTCAAGTTCTTCAGGTAATTACCCAGTAGTGGAATTAGTATATCACATGGTAATTCAATTTTTAATTTTCTGAGGAACCTCCTTACTGTTTCCCAGAATGGATGCACCAGTTTACGTTCCCACCAATCGCGCACAAGGGTTCCTTTATTTCCACATCCTTGCCAACACGTTTCCACACATTTAGCCATTCTGACAGGTGTGAGGTATACCTCATTGTGGTTTTGATTTGCATTTCCCTGATGATCAGTGATGTTGTGCATTTTTACATGTGTCTGTTGGCTATCTGTATGTCTGTCTTCTTTGGAGAACGTTCATGTCTTCTGATCATTTTTAAATTAGATTATTCGGGAGTTTTGGTGTTGAGTTGTAGAAGTTCTTTTTTTCCTTTTTTTTCCTCCACACCCAGTGTAGAGCGCAGGGCAGGGATTGAACTCATGATTCTGAGATCCAGACCTGAACTGAGATCAAGAGCCAGACACTTAACCAGCTGAGCCACCCAGGCACCCCGAATTCTTTATACATTTTGGATACTAACCACTTATGGGATGTGTCGTTTGCAAATATCTTCTCCCACTCAATAGGTTGTCTTTTTGTTTTGTTGATTGTTTCATTGGCTGTGCAGAAGTTTTTAATTTTGATGTAGTCCCAATATTATTTTTGCTTTTGTTGTGCTTGACTCAGAAGACATATCTAGAAAAATGTTTCATGGCTGATGTCAGAAAGATTACTGCCTGTGCTCTCTTCTAGGATGTTTATGGTTCAGGTCTCACATTTAGGTTCTTAATCCATTTGGTATTTATTTTTGTGTATGTTATAAGAAAGTGTTTCAGTTTCACTCTTCTGCATGTTGTTGTCTAGTCCGCCCAACACAATTTGTTGAAGAGAATTTTCCCCATTGCATATTCTTGCTTCCTAATTGACCATATAATTGTGTGTTTATTTCTGGGTTCTCTATTCTGTTCTGTCTGTTCTTATGCCAGTACCACAGTATTTTGATTACTATAGCTCTGTAGTGTATCTTGAAATCTGGGATTGTGCTATCTCCAGTTTTGTTCTTTTTTCTTTCTCAAAATTGCTTTGGCTATCTGGGGTCTCTTATAGTTCCATACAAATTTAGGAATGTTTGCTCTAGTTCTGTGAAAAATGCCGTTGGTATTTTTATAGGGATTGCATTAAATCCCTATTTGGGATTTAATTGGGCATTAATTGGGTTAATTAATTAATTAATTAATTGGGTATTGGGTTTGTACTACCCAATTGCTTTGGGTAATACAAACGTTTTGACAATGTTTGTTCTCCCAGTCCATGGATCTCATAACTTTTAACTCAATCTGGACCTTGTTTCTCTATTAATTATTCTATCTTCATTAGTCCTGGTCCTACTCCTCAGCTTAAACATACACAAGGGTTTTTGCTTTCTTGAAAAATCTTTTGGTGCCACTGTTCCCCCTGGAGAGTGCCCTATTTTTCTCCTTCCTTTTAATGCCACACTTCAAAACTGTGTGGCTTACTGCTTCAACCTTATTATTCTCTCACTGCTTAACTCCTATTCCCAGCACACTAGTCAACTTACTCTCTTTCTTCCATGTTTAGTTGTCAGGACTGTAGCTATCATTTCTCTTATAAAACTCCTAAATCTGCTCTCCAGTCTTTATCTCTCTCCAAGCTTGATTTCCAGACTACTATCTCTAACACATCATTCTCCACAAAAATTTAAGTTGATAAACTAGATGAGAAGTGAAAAGAGGTAGAAGCTCATAATAGAAACTATCCAGAAAAAATTATATCTGTGATGGAGGCCTGAATTAGAGAAGGAATGGAATAAATATAAGACTTTGCCAAGAAAGAATCAACAGGATTAAGTGACCAAGCAGAAATCAGAGGGAAAGGGGAGGAGAGAGCCTAAAGCAGAATTGGTGCTAAAAAAAAAGAATAGAGAAATCAGAAGGAGCAGGTGTGGCTATTATTGATGCCATTCTCAGATGAGGGATCTGAAACTCAGCACTATCATGGAATTTTCCCAGTGTCCCCAGGTGTCCGAGTTGAAAGAAGGGGCTACGTATCCACAATATTGCATGATCAATTACGCTGAACCTGAATATGAACACATTTTTTTTTTAATCAAGGGTCATCACAGTCCAGCCTTCAACCTGACCGCCTTTTTACTTCTCCACTAAGACTTTCTTTTTCACTATGTTGCAGGCACACTTTCTGTTCTAGTAAACTTAGCCTGCTCATGACTTTTCATTTATGTCATTTTTGTTCTAATTCCCTATCCTTGCCTTCCGTGAACCTTCTTTTTTTTTTTTAATATTTTATTTATTTATTTGACAGAGAGAGATCACAGTAGACAGAAGCAGGCAGAGAGAGAGAGAGAGAGGGAAGCAGGCTCCCTGCTGAGCAGAGAGCCCGATGCGGGACTCGATTCCAGGACCCTGGGATCATGACCTGAGCCGAAGGCAGTGGCTTAACCCACTGAGCCACCCAGGCGCCCCTTCCGTGAACCTTCTAAATCTCAGCCATCCTTCAAAGATGAACCCAAGTTGGACTTTCACCAGAAAAATCCTTCCCATTTATTGTAACCCACAAGGATACATGTTTCTTGGTCTTTGCCAACAAAATGAACGCTTGGGCCCTACACTGCCTTGCACTTCTTTCTAAACATTATGCATGTGTTACTGCCCTCCCAGTAAGGGTTTCCTTGAGGTAAGAACCCGATATCTGAAACTTATTTTTCTTTCCTCCATAGTAAGAGTTCACTTGGAGTAGAGAAGTATTTCTTGCAATATCTCCCTTCATTACCCCTTCTAACTGCTGAGATATACCAAAATAGGCTATAAGACTCAATTCAGTCAAGACAGGAAACTGCTATTCACCAGATTGTGCCTGATGAGTTCTTTAGCAAACTCAAAGGAAGAAGAAGCGTTGTCCATCAAGCTTTTGAGTTCTGCCTGAAATTAAAAAAGGAAAGGCTTAGGAAAACGACAAGTGTATAGTTCTTATACCACATATTTGCACAATGTTTTACAGTTTACACAGAATTTAACATGCCATTTCATTCATATTTCGTTTGTTCCTCAGGACTCGAAGAGTCAGTGTGATTGTTAACCTCATTTTACAGATGAGAACATTGAGGCTTAGAAACAATAAATGACTTGAAACTTACACTAAGCAGCAAGTTTGAAACCGGTGAGCTCATGTCTGAAGACTCCTACTTAATCTTTTCTTTCAGAGTCAAAGGTGATTAAGGAGCTAAACTTAAAAACTGGGGTTGATTCTTCAATCTGACCATTCTACCTATATCCCAAATTCTCTTAGTAGCTCCTGTCGGCTGCACTGTTATATAGCACAATTAAAATACCTTCTATTATTTATTAGACCTATCAGATCTCTTCTGTATTCTCTCACCCCCTTCACTCCCTATAGAACAAATGGCCAGCCATTTCCAGCATCTTCGCTAATACCCTAGATTCACCTATCCTCCCTCAGCTTTTTATTATTCCTACCTTGCCAATCTATAATTTTGAGTTATCGTCCTTTCCTCCTTTTTCTATTTCCATCACTTAGGTAGCTAAGCTTCTCAGGATAAAATAATTAAATTCTTGATTGTTCTCACTAACCACTACACTACAAACATGTTCTATTTGATCGCATATGGAATTGAGCCTCTACCTCAGCAAACTTTTTTTTTAATTTCTTTTTTTTTTTAAAGATTTTATTTATTTATTTGACAGAGAGAGAGATCAAAAGTAGGCAGAGGCAGGCGGGGGAGGGGGAAGTAGGTTCCCCGCTGAGCAGAGAGCCTGATATGGGGCCTGATCCCAGGATCCTGAGATCATGAACTGAGCTGAAGGCAGAGGCTTAACCCACTGAGCCACCCAGGCGCCCCCTCAGAAAAATTTTTATTAATCCCGTCTCTTGTCCACAGCAGAAATTCCAAAGTGTTTGGTAACATTAGGCTAGATCAGCAGTTTGCAAGCTTTTTGATCTCAGGATATCTTTTACAATCTTAAAAATTGTTAAGGATCCCGAAGAGCTTTTGTTTACGTGGATTATAGCCCACATAAATAGCCCATAGTACAATATATATTGTATTAGAAATTAAAAAAGAAATTTTAAAGTATTCAATTAATCAAACATAAGAAGAAGCCCACTACACATTAACACAAATATTTTTCATTTAAGAAAACTGCATTTATGGAACAAAAACTTAGTGAGAAGAACAGCACTGTTTTATATTTTTGCAAATCTCCTTAATGTCTGGCTTAAAAGAGGACAGCTAGATTAGCATGTCTCTATCTGCATTTGATGTGTTTTGAAATCTGCTATCTCTGGAAAGCTTCACTGCACAGTTGAGCAAAGGAAAGTGAAAAGGCAAAATCTTTTATATCATAAGGACAATTCTTATTTAAGGCAGGGCCAGCCGGAACTAGGGCTGGCCGAGTGAGACGCCTAGGGCACAGAACTGAAAGCAGCACTCACTGCACATGAAAAGATGTTCAACATCATTAGTCATCAGAGAAATGCAAATCAAAACCACAATGAGATTCCACTGCACACCCAATGGGATGGCCACAATAAAATAACTGCTGGCAAGGATGTAGAGAAATCGAAACTCTTACACACCGCTGGTGGGAATGTAAACTGGTGTAGCTACTCTGTGAAACAGCCCGGCAGTTCCGCAATTAAATATAGAACTCTATATAACCCACCGATTCCACTCCTAGGCATAAGACCAAGAGAAATGGAAACATGTCCAACACATGCCCAAGAACATGTACACAAACGCTTATAACAGCATTATTCGTAATAGGCCAAAAGTGAAAATGACCCAATGTCCATCAGCTGATGAATGGAAAAATAAAATGTACTGTATCCGCATAATAGAATATTATTTGGTCATAAAAACGAATGAAGTACTATATAGGCTACAATATGATGAAATTTATAAACATGCTAAGTAAAAGAAGACAGTCATAAAAGTTCACACATTGTATATCACTTTTTTTTTTTTTAAAGATTTTATTTATTTATTTGTCAGAGAGAGAGAGGGAGAGAGAGCAAGCACAGGCAGACAGAATGGCAGGCAGAGGCAGAGGAAGCAGCAGGCTCCCTGATGAGCAAGGAGCCCGATGTGGGACTCGATCCCAGGACGCTGGGATCATGACCTGAGCCGAAGGCAGCTGCTTAACCAACTGAGCCACCCAGGCGTCCCTGTATATCACTTTTATATGAAATATCCAGAATTGGCAAATCTAGAGTCAGAAAGCAGATATGCAATTGCTTGGGCTGGGGGGATGGGGGGCCAGGGGTTGATGGAGTTCCTAAGGAGCATGGGGTTTCTTTTTGAGGTAATGCAAATGCTCTAAAACCGAGCTGGTGATCACACGTATCTGTGAAAAGAATGAGAGCTTTGTGTGTGCACTGTGCCAGGTCCCAGGACACACATGTCAAAAGACACAGTTTCAACACTCAATGAGCTTGTCTAGATGAAAGATAATTAGGCAACTATCAAATAGTACGCATGCTATCTTATGTATGTATATATACCTATATATATCTATAAATATACCTATATGTATCTGTCTATCCATTCATCTATCTATTTATATATAATCACACATAAGAAAAAAGAAGAAAGTAGCCCTAAATTTGCAGTCAAGTCTGTGCACTTTAGGGTCACATAAGGGTTTGAGATCTGAATTTGTCACTTGTTAGTTGTAAAGCTTTGGGCAAGTTATTTAAATTACCTCAAGAATTAAGTGAATCATTACACATTATGTCATGCTAACTACAAAAGGGCAGAATGCTACTGGTGTTTATGGAGAGAAGGAGCCATAGAATATTGGATGTATTATACAAATTCCTGGAGGAATGCCTGATTTTTAAGTGGCTTAATAAAATTATGGGCAAACACAAACTATATTCTATTGCTAACACCCTCCCCCACAAATAAAGTTTGTCAGGGTACATTTGACATTGTTGTTGACTGCTGAAATACATTATAAAATTAATATGCAACCTGCACAGACACCATTTCATATGAAAAAGCATGTCTTGGGGCACCTGGGTGGCTCAGTGGGTTAAGCCTCTGCCTTCGGCTCAGGTCATGATCTCAGGGTCCTGGGATCGAGCCCCGCATCGGGCTCTCTGCTCAGTAGGGAGCCTGCTTCCTCCTCTCTCTCTGCCTGCCTCTCTGCCTACTTGTGATCTCTCTCTCTCTCTCTGTCAAATAAATAAATAAAATCTTAAAAAAAAAAAAAAAAAAGAAAAAGCATGTCTTTTGGGCGACAGGAAATACAGTTTGGTGCCCTGACTTGCATCGTGCTAGACCTCCAGAATATTGGTTGACCATGCTACCCATATCAGATTATGGAAAGAACATGTGCAGACAAAATGTAAACATTTAATAGACTGGAAAAAATTTGGAAAAACTCCCAAGATTAACTCAAGATAGAAAGGCAAGAATATATTTCTTTTTTTTTTTTTTTTTTTTTTTTTTTTTTTTTTTGTCAGAGAGAGAGAGAGGGAGAAAGCAAGCACAGGCAGACAGAGTGGTAGGCAGAGGCAGAGGGAGAAGCAGGCTCCCTGCCAAGCAAGGAGCCCAATGTGGGACTCGATCCCAGGACGCCGGGATCATGACCTGAGCCGAAGGCAGCCGCTTAACCAACTGAGCCACCCAGGCGTCCCAAGAATATATTTCTTTTATTTGTTCTTACCAAAGGCCATAAACTCTACCAGTTTACCATTAAACTGCTGGAGCTGGAAACTAGCCAATTAGGCAGACCCGGGGGACTTTGTAGTTGCAGTGAGTACACCCAAGAATGTATTGTACATAACATATAAATGGACTGCTCGATTGCATACTAAGCAATTGAAGTGGTGGGCATTTGTATTGCCATAACAGACCACTTTTATCAACGTAAGCCACAAAAATCAATCTGGGCCTATGCTAAGGGCACAAGCTTTCCATTCCACCCCTCCCACAATTACTAAACACTGTTTCACTCAGGAGCTGCGTCTGCTATCAGCTAAAATATGGAAATAATGTCTCTTGCTATGGCATTTACATAGTGAATTTTGCTTTGATAGAGTTAGTTTGCTGGTTTCAGTTCCCTTCCCTCCTCCCCCAGTGGCATGATACCAGCTGGAACTGGTTTTTGGACAAGGGTGGGATTTTAAAATTTTGACACATGCACAAATTTTACATCGAATTTTGATGGCTTCTGACATCAACTAAAATAATGGTTGAGGAAGTAATTTCCATGGCCCCTCTCACACTGTTAATCTAAAAATAGCCTACATAGGGGCACCTGGTTGGCTCAGTTGGTGGTGTGGGTGACTCTTGATCTTGGGGTTATAAGATTAAGCCCCATGTCGGGTGCAGACAGTACTTAATAAAATCTTTTAAAAAAATCACCTGTTTATCACATAAATAAATAAATAGCTATAAATAGGTATAGTATAGAATATGCCCTCTTTTTTTTCCTCTCTCTGTATATGTTTATGTATGTGTGTGTGTGTGTATAACGTTAAATAAAAGGGGGTCCCTTGTATGGCCTACTATGCACTCTCAGTTTCCTATATAAAGAGAGCTGTAGCAGAATTTATCCACAGAATTGCCAGAGAGACTAAATAATAGATACAAACCATTCTGCATATGCCTAGAAGTTAGCTAATTTCTAAGTATTTATAAAACGTTTACCACTATTGCCTCATGGGATAACCCTGAAAAAGATGCTGAATTATACCAAGCAGAATGAGGCATTCCAGGAAATGAGAATGTTATACACAAAGCCATGATAGTAGGAAAGCATGGTGTGTGGAATAACATCAATGGCTAGACGGGAGAGGACAGGCTAGGGCAGGGAAATTATTTAAGGAACCGAAATAAAAGATGAGGAGTGTCCAGACTAGAGCAGTGGTAGAGGAGAAGAGATAGCTAAGATGCAGAACTGATAGGAACTGGTAGATGTTTAGATGGGGCACTGAAGAAAAAGACAGATGGAAATCTTAGGTTTGTGATGGGATTTACACGCCAGTGACAATGAACCACAGAGCCACAAACCTATTTTAGAGGAAAAAGAACAACTGTCCACTTTCGACACATTTAAGGTAATGTAAAACATCTCGGTAAAGATCGTCTACAATACATTAGACACACAGAATTCAGAAATCAACATTTTTTAAGAATATCTAATCAATATAAATATTTATATATAGTTGGTTCTTACAGAATCACCCTGGCAATAACAAAGGGATATTATATTAATTAGGAGATACAAATAATAGAGTCTTATGAATAACCCAAAAAGTATAGGGTTATTCAAAGTGGAATTAAATAAATTAAAAACACATTTCCATCACTACCTCAGCTGCTTTGCCATTGTAAAGGCGAAAATGATTACAGGCCTTAAGATTGAGTGCGATGGTGCTATCAGGAATTTGCTGAAGGTAAACTGCCAGAACTTCTTGAGACACATCATAGTAATCCAACTTGTAGTAACATAGGGCCACGTATACATTGAGGGCAAGGTATTCCCTATTAGATGAAAGAATTAAGGTTAACCGTTTAAGTCTACTTCATAGTAAGGTTGTCAAACTACAAAGACTTCTTTAATGGCTCAAACTGACAGCCAGGTGAGGAGGACATGAACTTGCCTTTTGAATAAAGAAGGCAAGGTATCATCCGTGCAATATTTTCCTTTTGTATTGTAGTATGTGGATGTTGTGATTTAAGTAGACAGAGAGATGACAACTAAAGGAGAAAGGGAAGCATTCAATTCCTACCAGTTCGTGTTAAAAAGACCAAACTTACGCATGCTCTAACTGGGCTAAACTGTAAATAAGCATGTATCGGACAAAGGACAGACACACAAAGCTAGCAGACTCAATGACTGGGAAGGGGAATGGGTGGGGTGCAGGTAAGCAAAAGGGGAGAAGGCAGGTGGATGAGATATTTTTGGGAAGTGGGAGAGATACCCAGTGGTCAGTGATAAAGTTGGAATGTTAGTTCTTCAGAATGTTTTATTTCTAATTTTGTCGGCAAGTTCCCTACAACCTAATACAACGCTGAAATGATAAATTTAGACCATGCATTTTCAACAAGGGCCATATCATCCCCAAAGGGGTAAAGATCCTTATGAAGAAGTGGAAAACTGTACTCATTTTAAGTATAAAGCATAGATATACATTCAGTATATACATGGACATACAGTGTATCTGTGGTTTTAAAATTTCACGAGAAGGTGATGGGGTGGGGGGAAGACCAAAAAGACTCCTTGGAAGGGTGATAGTGAAATAAAAGTGGAGAAATCCTGATCTGGAGAATAAGGAGTTCTTAATCGGACCACATTATTAGCTAAACAGATTTGAACACAGAGTGATAATAGGTTGAAAGAACACTAGGTCCTCAACCAAATCAGTTACAGAAAAAGCTAGCAAAATGAGATTTGGAGTAGACAGGAAAGGACACCGACCTGTTATCTAGCAGTATTCGCTTATAAATATCAATAGCTTCTTGGTAGTGAGATCGCATATAGTGGATTGAGGCCAAACTGAGTTGATCTTCTGTGATATCCTGAAGATTCTGATGAAAGTTCATCAACTTCTTCTCATCATTAAACTAAAATTGTCAGAGGGAAAAAGACATGTAAAGATTCATGAGAGTACAGTTAATCGCCACCTATGGTACAGAGATTTTAATTCCTTCTCTTTCAGCCATTTTGGTCTCTCAGTTCTCCCTATTTTCGTTCAGTTCCTTGTCTTCTCTCCTGTCTCTCCTTCAGAGTAAGAATGAAAACAGCCTCTGGAGGCAAGGCCTTTGAGTCACAGCTAATATTAATTACTTGACCCCCCCTTCCTTTCTATTTTTTCCCCTATGTCTTTTTATCATTCTTATATGCTGTTTATAAGAGACACATTTTAAAATATAAAGACACAGGGGCGCCTGGGTGGCTCAGCGGGTTAAGCCGCTGCCTTCGGCTCAGGTCATGATCTCAGGGTCCTGGGATTGAGCCCCACATCGGGCTCTTTGCTCAGTGGGAGCCTGCTTCTCTCTCTGCCTCTGCCTGCCTCTCTGTCTGCTTGTGATCTCTGGCTCTCTCTCTGTCAAATAAATAAATAAATAAATAAATAAAATCTTAAAAAAATATATAAAGACACATTAAGGTAGAAAGTTTAAAAGTATGTAAAGAGAGGGGCACCAGGGTGTCTCATCTTAAGTATCTAAGGAGATATAATAGACAAACACCAAACAAAAGAGAGTGGTGGTATACAAACATGACGAAGCAGACTTTACGTGAAGAGAAATTTTTAGAGATAGAGACATTGCGCAATGATGTTTCAATCCACTGGTGGACAGGACAATTCTAAATTTGTATGTACTTAATGATAGAGTCTGAAAAACATGTAATGCAAAAACTGAAAGAACTAAACAGAGACAGATAATTACACTATGAAACTTTTAAATGTGCTAAGAATAATCGTTTTCATATACTGCCCATGGATGATTTGATAAAGTTTCCATAAAGTAATTTAGAAATATCAATTAAAAGCTTTATTTAAAAATATTTATTTATTTTAGAGCGAGAGGGAATCTGTGCATGTGTATATATGTGTGTGTATACATATGGATATATATATATATGTATGTTATATATATGGAATATAACTCAGCCATGAAAAAGAATGAAATCTTGCCATTTGGGACAAAATGATGGATCTAGAGAGTATGATGCCAAGTGAAATAAATCAGTTAGAGAAAGTCAAATACCATATGATTTCATTCATATGTGGAATTTTTTTTCAAAATCTTTTTTTTTAAGATTTTGTTTATTTATTTGACAGAGACACACAGAGATCACAAGTAGGCAGAGAGGCAGGCAGAGAGAAAGAAGGAAGCAGGCTCCCTGCTAAGCAGAGAGCCCGATGCAGGCCTTGATCCCAGGACCCTGGGATTATGACCTGAGCCGAAAGCAGAGGCTTAACCCACTGAACCACCCAGGCGCTCACTCGTATGTGGAATTTAAGAAATAAAACAAATGAGGAGAGAGAGACAGGCAAACCAAGAAACAGACTCTTAATGATGGTACCAGAGGGGAGGTGAGTAGGGGGATGGATTAAATAGGTAATAGGGATTAGTAAGTATTAAAAAATTAAAAATAAACAAATAGACATATACATACATATGTACAATCTGAAAGTCAAATAACTAGGAAACATTAAATTATGATACATGCATACAATGAAATGTTATAAATGCCATTTTTTTTAAAGATTTTATTTATTATCTGACAGACAGAGATCAAAAGTAGACAGAGAGCCAGGCAGAGAGAGAGGAGGAAGCAGGCTCCCTGCTGAGCAGACAGCCCAATACGGGGCTCGATCCCAGGACCCTGGGATCATGACCTGAGCCGAAGGCAGAGGCTTTAACCCACCGAGCCACCCAGGCGCCCCTATAAATACCATTTTAAAAAGTCACAGTCTTGGGGCACCTGGGTGGCTTGGTGGGTTAAGCCTCTGCCTTTAGCTCAGGTCATGATCTCAGGGTCCTGGGATTGAGCCCTGAATTGAGCTCTCTGCTCGGCAGGGAGCCTGCTTCCCCCTCCCCCTCTGCCTGCCTCTCTGCCTGCTTGTGATCTCTTTCTCTGTCAAAAAAATAAGTAAAATCTAAAAAAAAAAAAGTCACAGTCTTAAAGACTATTTAGTGACTCAGGGATATGCTCATTGTATAAAGGTAAGTTTAAAAAAAGAAGGCAGAATACAAAAACATATATTTGGCATGAGGCTCATTCTTCAAAACAGAAAAATGAACAAAATATAAATATGTGTATAAAAATAATTATCTTGGGGTGCCTGGGTGGCTCAGTGGGTTAAGCCTCTGCCTTCGGCTCAGGTCACGATCTCAGGGTCCCGGGATCAAGCCCCACATCAGGCTCTCTGCTCAGCAGGGAGTCTGCTTCCCCCTCTCTCTCCGCCTGCCTCTCTACTTGTGATCTCTCTCTGTCAAATAAATAAATAAAATCTTTAAAAAAATAATTATCTTTATTTATTTGAGAGAGAGAGAGCACAAGGAGGGGGAGAGGCAGAAGGAGAAGCAGACTCCCTGCTGAACAGAGAACTTGATATGGGGCTAGATCCTAGGACCCCGGGATCACGACCTGAGCTGAAGGCAGATGTTTAACCAATGGAGCTACCCAAGCACCCCTTAAAAATAATTATTTTAAATGGAGATATAAGATAACAAAAGGCTGAAATGCAGTTTCCTTTATTATTTATTTTTTTAATTTAAATTTTAGGTAGTTAACATACAGTGCAATATTGGTTTCTGAAGCAGAATTCAGTGATTCATCACTTACAACACCCAGTGCTCATCGTAACAAGTGCCCCCTTTAATGTCCATCACCCATCTAGCCCATCCCCCACCCACCTCCTTCCATCAACCCTGTTTTTTCACTATCGTTAAGAGTTTCTTATGGCTTATTTCCCTCTCTCCTTTTTTCCCCTCTTCCCCCTTCCCATATGTTCATCTGTTTTCTTTCTTAAATTCCACATGAGTGCAATCATATGGTATTTGTCTTTCTCTATTTCACTTAGCATAATAGACTCTAGCTCCATCCATGTCATTGCAAATGGCAAGATTTCATTCTTTTTTTATGGCTGAGTTATAGCCCATTGTACATATACACCACATGTTCTTTATCCATGCATCAGTCGACGGACATTTGGGCTCTCTCCATAGTTTGGCTACTCTTGATAATGCTGCTATAAACACTGGGGTGCACATATTACTTTGAATCTATATTTTTATATCCTTTGGGTAAATATCTAGTGGTGCAACTGCTGGATCATAGGGTAGTTCTATTTGTATTTTTAAAAAGATTTTATGTATTGATTTGAGAGGGAGAGAGAGAGAGAGAGCATTATCGGGGGGAGGGGATGCGAGAGGGGGAAAAGCAGACTCTCCACTGAGGGAGGAGCCTGACTCTAGGCTCTATCCCAGGACCCTGAGATTATGACCTGAGCCAAAGTCAGATGCCTAAGCAACTGAGCCACCCAGGTGCCCCTGGGCAGTTCAATTTGTAACATTTTGAGGAACCAGCATGCCATTCTCCAGAGTGGTTGCACCAGTTTGCATTTCCATCAACAATGCAAGAGAATTCCCCTTTCTTTGCATCCTCACCAACCCGTTGTTTCTTATGTTGTTAATTTTAGCCATCCTGACATGTGAGATGGTATCTCATCATGGTTTTGATTTATATTTCCTTGATGATGAGTGATGCTGAGCATCTTTTCATGTGTCTATTAGCCATTTGGGTATCTTTTCTGGAAAAGTGTCTATTCATGTTTTCTGCCCATTTCTCAATTAGGTTATTCGTTTTTTGGGTATGGAGTTTGATTAAGCTCTTTGTAGATTTTGCAAATATTTTCTCCCATACTGTAGGCTGCCTTTCAGTTTCATTGACTGTTTTCTTTGCTGTAGAGAACTTTTTTTTATCTTGATGAAGTCCCAATAGTTCACTTTGGCTTTTGTTTTCCTTGCCTCAGGAGAGGAATCTAGCAAGAAGTTGCTATGGCTGAGGTAAAAAAGGTTGCTGCCTATATTCTCCTCAAGGATCACGATGATTTCCTGTCTCACATTAAGATCTTTCACCCATTTTGAATTTATTTTTGTGTATGGTGTAAGAAAGTGGTCTAGTGGGGCGCCTGGGTGGCTCAGTGGGTTAAAGCCTCTGCCTTCAGCTCAGGTCATGATCCCAGGGTCCTGGGATCGAGCCCCCTGTCAGGCTCCCTGCTCAGTGGGGAGCCTGCTTCCTCCTCTCTCTCTGCCTGCCTCTCTGCCTACTTGTGATCTCTGTCTGTCAAATAAATAAATAAAAATCTTAAAAAAAAACATTAAAAAAAAAAGAAAGTGGTCTAGTTTCATTCTTCTGCATTATGCTGTCCAGTTTTTCCAACACCATTTGAAGAGAATGACTTTTTTCCATTGGATATTCTTTCCTGCTTTGTCAAATATTAGTTGACCATACAGTTATGGGTCCATTTCTGGGTTCTCTATTTTGTTCCACTGATCTATGTGTCTGTTTTTGTTCCCGTACTATACTGTCTTGATCATCACAGCTTTGTAATAAAGCTTGAAATCTGGAATCATGATGCCTTCAAGTTTTGTTTTTCTTTTTCAGAATTGCTTTGGCTATTCAGGGTCTTTTGTGGTTCCATACAAATTTTAGGACTATTCTAGCTCTGTGAAAAATGCTGATAGTATTTTGATGGGGATTGCATCAAATGTGTAGATGGCTTTGGGTAGTACAGACACTTTAACAATGTTTGTTCTTCCAATCCATGAGCATGGAATGCTTTTCCATTTCTTTGTGCCCTCTTCCAATTTCTTTCATAAGTGCTCCATAGTTTCCAGAGTACAGATGTTTTATTTCTTTAGTTAGATTTATTCCTAGGTATCTTATTGTTTTTGACACAATTGCAAATGGGATTGATTCCTTAATTTCTTTGGTGTATAGAAATGCCAACAGATTTTTGCACACTGACTTTATATCCTATGATTTTGCTGAACTCATGTATCAGTTCTAGCAATTGTTTGGCAGAATCTTTCAGGATTTCTTTTATGTAGAGTATCATATCATCTGCAAATAGTGAAAGTTTCACTTCTCCCTTGCCAATGTGGATGTCTTTTATTTATTTATTTTTTGTTGTCTGATTGCTGAGACTAAGACTTCCAGTACCATGTTAATTAGTAATGGTAAGAGTGGACATCCTTGTCTTGTTCCTGACCATAGGGGAAAGGCTCTCAGTTTTTCCCCACTGAGGATAGTATTAGCTGTGGGTCTTTTGTATATGGCCTTTATGATGTTGAGGTTTGTTCTAGCTATTCCTACTTTGTTGAGTCTTTTTTTTAATCAAGAAAGGATGCTATATTTTGTCAAATGCTTTTTCTGCATCTATTGACAGGATCATACGGTTTCTATCCTTTTATTAATAAATCGTATCATATTGATTGATTTACAAATACTGAACCACCCTTGTAGCCCAGGAATAAATCCCACTGGATGGTGGTGAATAATTCTTTTAATGTACTATTGAATTCAATTTGCTAGTGTTTTATTGAGAATTTTGCATTTATGTTCATTAGGGATATTGGCCTGTAATTCTCCTTTTTAGTGGGTGTAGATTTTATTTTCTCTTTCAACTTTTGCTTACATATACTTTATTTAATAGAATTAATGTGTAACTTCTATAATATGGAAAATTATTTTTAAGAAACCATTTTATGATGATGACCAAAATTACTGCTGGAAGCCAGGGGTGCCTGATTGGTTCAGAAGGTACAGAATGCAACTTTTGATCTTGGGGGTCATGAGTTCAAGCCCCATTAAGTGTAGAGCTTACTATAAAAAAATAAAAGAAAATTTGGGGTGCCTTGCTGACTCAGCTGGAAGAACCTGTGACTCTTGATCTCAGGGTTGTGAATTCAAGTCTCCTGTTGGGTATAGAGATTTACTTAGATGAATAAACAAAAACTTAAAAAGGGGGTACCTGAGTGGCTCAGTCAGTTAAGCATCTGCCTCTTGATTTCAGCTCAGGTCATGATCTCAAGGTTGTAAGATCAAGCCCTGCATCAGGCTCCACACTAGATATGGAGCCTGCTCGAGATGCTCTCACTCCCCGACCCTACTCTAGTATGTTCTCTCTCTTAAAAACAAAACAAAACAGGGGCACCTGGGTGGCTCAGTGGGTTAAGCCGCTGCCTTCGGCTCGGGTCATGATCTCAGGGTCCTGGGATCGAGTCCCGCATCGGGCTCTCTGCTTGGCGGGGAGCCTGCTTCCCTCTCTCTCTCTCTCTCTCTGCCTGCCTCTTCATCTACTTGTGATCTCTCTCTGTCAAATAAATAAATAAAATCTAAAAACAAAACAAAACAAAACAAAACTTACTGCTATAAGGCAATTCTGAAAAGTGTGTGTTTCTAGGAGTTAAGATAAGGTGTCTTAGAATCTGCTTCCAAGAGACAATAGGATACTTGAAACAAACAAATCTTAAATGACTACTATTTAAAAAGACCTAAAATCTAACATCTCTTATTGGTAAAGAACACTATGAAAAGAAAATCCTATAAAATCAATACCTATATTCTACTTGTTCTAGAAATACCATTAATAAGCATTTCTAGTTCATTATCTTTCACCATTGTTTTTCATAAGAAGAAAAAATATTTTAAAACAAAAAATGTGATATGAGAACATAAATACCTTATGAGCCAAGTGGAAAAGGAGGCGGTTTTGAAGTCGGCTTTTTGGAGCTGTAAAAAAGACGTTCAAGCTGCTTATTAATTGTCTATGGCACTTAGTCCTTTGCAAGAATAACATGAGACTCAGATAATCTTCCCAAATCCTTATCTATGTGACCCTGATATGTCCCGACTATAATACATATTATTTTCATCTGGTATCTACCTGCAGAAGCAACAACTGCATCAGGAACCAGGAAAAAAAAAAAAAGTTCTCTTCTTCCCCAGCACTTGTTCTACTAGCTTCTATCATGGTGACCCACAGCATAGGACACCACACACACAGTTCTGGTAGCAGCCCACCACCACGCTGCTCACACACTGACCAAACACTGGAAATAAAGTTATATTTATCCCAATTCATGTAGAAATCCCTGTCATTCAGCTGTTCTTCCAAGTATTCTTTGTCAATTCCTTCTGAAATCTCCTTTTCTACAGTTATACAGCCATATTTCCTTAGATACTAGCTCAATCTCTACTCCACAGATCTTCGAGCATGATCATCGGCCACACTTCAACACTCAACCAGGTGAAAAGGTTAACACTTTTCAAGTTCCAAATCCCGTTTGCACTGCTGAAGAATTTTCCTAATTCTGGATGCCTAACCCTACATTTTTTTTTTTAAGATTTTATTTATTTATTTATTTGAGAGACAGAGATCACAAGCAGGCAGATAGGAAGGCAGAGAGAGAGGAGGAAGCAGGCCCCCCGGCTGAGCAGAGAGCCTGACACGGGGCTCGATCCCAGGACCCTGGGATCATGACCTGAGCTGAAGGCAGAGGCTTTAACCCATTGAGCCACCCAGGCGCCCCCATTTATTTATTTTTTTCTTACAGAAAAAACTCATACTTCAAAGCATAAAAAAGAAAAAAAATTATGTGGCAAGATAGGTAGCTACCCTGATCACTTTCTGTGTGTCTGACACTGTTCTAGGTACAGATACAGTCTAGAAACATAAGAAAAATAAGTAACTTAAGGCCTATATAATTAGATTAAGAAAAACTATATCAGAACACAGGACACAGTTTGGGTACAAATCAAGAAAGGGTCCAAGTTTCATGTGATCCCTGAATTTGAACTGGAACAGTTCCTAAATATGTATGAATCTGTTAATTCTCTAAGAATTCTATCCTGGAATATATTCTTCCCTAACAAATTTCCTAACAAACATTCCCTTGCCCAGTTTCTCTACATTTCTTTGAATTTAATTTGATGCATACTCTCATTATTCTTAATCCTTCCTCCCCTGTTTCTCTTTGCCCTGTTCTTATTTGCAAGTTGATGTCTAGTTCTTAGACAGCTGTGAGGACAAGTAAAGCAAATGACAACTAGTCTGGATTTTTCAAGCAGAAATTACTTGGTTTCTCATTCAGAAGCAGGGAAAACAGCTATAAAATCCACATCCCTAGGGCTTAGACAGCTCCCTCTGACTCCTACAACAGCATGAATATCCTATACCATGAGGGGGCCCAAGAAAGAGAACTTGCTCTTTTGCTTCTTTCATTCTGCTTATCTGCTGTAGCTTCTGGGAAGGTGGGGTGGGGACAGGAAGCAGCACAGAGATTAACACTCTCTTTAAACATAAAATTGCTCAGATTCAATGTTCTTTGAAGATTAAATCTATTTTTCAGTTTTTTTTAAATTTTATTTTAAAGTAATTTCTACACCCAACATGGGGCTTGAACTTACAAACCCCAAGATCAATAGTCACATGCTCTACCGAGTGAGCCAGCCAGGTGTCCCTATTTTCTAGTTTTCTAATTATGCTTGGTTTTTCCTCAGTAAAAAAAAAGGAATTAAATATGTTTTAAAATCTCCAAAATAGGGGCACCTGGGTGGCTCAGTGGGTTAAAGCCTCTGCCTTCGGCTCAGGTCATGATCCCAGAGTCCTGGCATCGAGCCCCACCTGGGGCTCTCTGCTTGGCAGGGAGCCTGCTTCCCTTCCTCTCTCTCTGCCTGCCTCTCTGCCTGCTTGTGATCTCTGTCTGTCAAATAAATAAATAAAATCTTTAAAAATATATATATATATAAATAAAATAAAATCTCCAAAATAACTCATACCATTAGTGATGAATACTGGATATTAAAAAGGCCATTTTACCTTTAAATCCGGCGGCTTCAGCTTGTTTATACATTCCAAGAAAAAAGTAGGTACAGGCTAGGTTCACCCAGACTTCAGGATTGCAATTTTCCTCCTTTGTCGCATTTTCATATTCCTGAAATATATATTAAGCAGGGCTCTCACTTCAGCAGTAAAGCAATCAATGACCCATTTCTCTATAGTGGAACAGAATTTCTTACTGAGATTGGGCAACTTCACATTTAGGGATCCTATATGCTCCACTATCCTGTACCTTCAAGGTTAAATACTAAAGTTACAAATCAATCCTACCCATGGTGGGTGGGGGAGTGGGGCTGTTGTCCACAAAACCTTTTTTTTTTTTAAGATTTACTTATTTATTTGAGAAAGAGAGAGAGCGAGAGAGAGAGCGCGCAATGCATACCCAGGGGGAGGGGCAAAAGGAGAAGAGAATCAAGCAGACAGCAAGCTGAGTGCAGAACTGGACGCTGGGCTCGATCTCACAACCCTGAGATCATGACCTGAAACAGTCTGACCCTTAACTGACCGCGCCACCTGGGCACCTGTTTTCCACGTTAAACTTGTTCCTCGCCCCCTCCTTTTAACAGTGATATGGGCTAATAAACTGCAGAAATGAAAAGTAACTGATATATTTTATTTTTGCTAACTTAAAAAGATAAACAAGGGGTGCCTGAGTGGCTCAGTCAGTTAAACCTCCAAATTTTGGTTTTGGGATGGAGCCCCGCATCTGGCTTTGAGTTCAGTATGGAGCCTGCTTCGGATTCTCTCTCCTTCTCCCTCTCCACCCCATCCCCTCAAATAAATAAATAAAATCTTAAAAAAAAAAAAAAAAAGAGGGATGCCCGGGTGGCTCAGTCGTTAAGCATCTGCCTTCGGCTGGGGTCATGATCCCAGGATCCTAGGATCGAGCCCCAAAGTGGGCTCCCAGCTCACAGGGAGCCTGCTTCCTTCTCCCTTTCCTCCCTGTTTGTGCTCTCTCTCACTATTTCTCTCTCTCTCAGATAAATAAACAAAATCTTTACTTCTTAAAGTTTTTAAAAGATTTTATTTATTTATTTGACAAAGAGAGTGAGTGTGCAGGTAGAGGAAGAGGGAGAAGCAGGCTCCCTATGGAGCCAGGAGTCCCATGTGGGGCTCCATCCCAGGACCCCGGGACCATGACCTGAGCTGAAGGCAGACGCTTAAGTGACTGAGCCACCCAGGCACCCCATAAACAAAATCTTAAAAAAATTTTTTTTTAATTGAAGAAATAAAGGAAAGCAAGGTACTTCACAAGAAATGCATAGGTTCAGTTAACTTAAAATCTAATAACCTTAATATACTACAAATATCACTTCATTCTAATTGTTTTCTGGCTTTATTTATTTGGCTTTACATTTTAAAAAGACATTTTCTTCCTGCCAAGAACACCTTCTGAGATTCCCTTTGTCAACTATGTTTTCCATATACTCTTATTATTTACCAGTCTATACCAGATAGCTTTGTTTCTTTTTCTTACTACATTTGGGCTCTCTCCTCTATATCTTTCACAAATTCTACCAGCTTCTATTCTGTCCTCATATCTTCTCTTTGCCCTCACTGATTTTGCTGTTTTTGCTCTTCGTCATACCTCCTCATTACGTGATCTTGGATACTTTCATTTTGGCTATGCATGTTCTATAAATATCCTTGGATTACAGTTGGGGGGTAAGGATACATGGAAACGTTTAAACAACTTCATCTATGCTTTAAAAACTGTTTGAAAAAAGTGAACTATAATTTTATCTAGATTCATATTCCTATAGATTGCTCATTACATAGGTGCTGTTTACAACAATGAAGAAAAAAACTTTCAAAACTCAACTTGCACAAATATAAAGATAACATTTCCTATGCCTAAAATTAATCAAGCAAAATAAAAATGAACTTCTTTTGAGAAAAGCATCATGGAAATTTTATCAAGAGGGTTCATTTCTCTTCTTCTGAAAATTTCCCTAAGAAATGCTAATATTAATATTTTGAACAATCTCATTAGTATATATCTAAAAGCAAAGAGAAACAAGATATATATAATACAGATATATATGTATATATCTATATATATATTTGAACTTATATAGAAGATTTCTGAAGCAATGCATCAAACAAGAGCCAGTGGTTGCCTCTGTTAACAAAGAAATAGGATTGTGGAAGGCAAAGAAGTGATGTTTTACTTTTTACTTTGTTCCCTTCTGGATTGTTTGAATTTTACAAGGAGCACAAATCATTATAATACGAAGCTTAATAACTTTTTCAAAATCCTTGTGTTGCAATTTTTTTTTTTTTTAAACTAACCTCCAAAGCTCTCTTGTAGTCACCCAGGTGAAAAGCACAGTATCCAATCCACAGATTAGTATCCTCTTCTTGTTCCCCAACGTGACGTTTGAACTTCAGGTTAAAATTTCAGAAAGAAAGAAAGTGAGGGGGGGGGTAAAAAGAAAGAAAGAAAGAAAGGGGGGTAGAAAGGGAGGACGGAAGGGAGGGAGGGAGGGAGGGAGGAAAGGAAGAAAGAAAGAAAGAAGGAGGGAAGGAAAAAAGAAAGAAGGAGGGAGGGAGGAAGGGAGGGAGGGAAAGAAAGACAGACTTTGAATAAATCATCTGTTTAAAAAACTGCTGTGTTGGGGCGCCTGGTTGGCTCAGTCAGTGGAGTGTGTGACTCTTGATCTTGGAGTTGTGAGTTTGCATCCCACACTGGGTGTAGAGATTACTTAAAAATAAAATCTTTTAAAAAATTAAAAACAAACAAACAACACTGCTATGTTAAACTACCGGTAAACAAATCAGCAAGGAAATTGCAAGTAACAGAAGTAAGACAATACTGTTTAATTAAGCCTATACCTAGGGAACTCAGCACAATTACTCCCCCCTCCAACTTTTTTTTAAGTAGACTCCACACGCAGTATGGAGCCCAGCTTGACCTCATGGGGCTTGAACTCATGACCCTGCAATCAAGACCTGGCCTGAGAGCGAGTCTGACGCTTTACTGACTGAGCCATCCAGGCGCCCCAGCACAATTTCCTTCTAATCATCACAGAAACGCTTATTTTTTTTGAATGCTGCAAAAACTAACAGAATATACATTCCACTTATTCCAGGAAGCATCATCAAATGCTGGAAGAATGGCTGCTGCAGAGCAACTGAAACAGGCTATGTTGAAACAATATGTGTAACCGTACGATGGTCTCAATTCTTTCCAATGTTAGGAATGAAAAGAATTTTAATGTTTGCTTTATACATTACTCAAGAAAACTATAGCACAGACATATTATTTCTTAGATATTCACAAGATGAAAAATCTAGTTCACTTAATATTTCCAGTTGAAAGAAACATATATTTTCAAATATTTCACCTTTGTTTTCCTGGATTAACAGACATCTTATTCCAGAAAGTATTTAAGAGTTATCCCCCTAACAATTCCGGGGGCTATTAAGAAACACAAGATTTAGGCAAAGTTTCTGATGCCAAACACCTGAAGGTTAGAGAGATTAAGCAATGAACTCAAGACCACCACAGCCAGTGAGGGCAGTAGCAGGGACCACCACAGTCCACTGACTCCATCACCTGTGTTCTCACCCTCCATGTTCTACTGCCTTCCAACGCACACATCAAACCTGTCCCATTAGCACACGCATACATTTATTCATAGGTACCTTTCACTGAGAATAAGCCATTAAATCATTCTGTTACTCTTAAATAGACTTACCAGGGCCTATAAGAATTAGGGATATTGAGAAGACTGGACTAATTTATGTCCATTGTGAAAAACTATCCCAGCCAACAGAAGTCCTGCTTTGGAGGAAAACGATGAGGCCTTGAAGGAGGAGTTTGAACTCCCATGATAAGGTGAGAGTTTTCCATTCTACAGGCTGATACACAAAAAACTGGTTAAAAAAAAATTAAGTAGGGGGGTGCCTGGGTGGCTCAGTTGTTAAGCATTTGCCTTCAGCTCAGTCATGAGCCCAGGGGCCTGGGATCGAGCCCCACATCGGGCTCCCTGCTTGGCGGGAAGCCTGTTCCTCCCTGCTTGTGTTTCCTCTCTTGCTGAATCTCTCTCTGTCAAATAAATAAATAAAATCTTTTTAAAAAATTAAATAGGGAGTGAACACCTATTTATAATCATTCCCACAGAACACTGGTGCCTTGACTGTTACAAGATGAAGACAACCATTAATACTTCCTGGTCTAGGATAAGAACTTACTCCTGTAGTTAACACCATAACATTACAAGTCTTCCTTTCACAAAACGCTGTAGATCTGAGGACAGTGCCTTAAGTCTGAAGAAATTCTTATTTGAAGTCTCCCTGAATTTGCTTCAGGAATTGCCTGGAACCATAGGAAAGCTCATGAGACCCCCCCCCCCCAAAGCACAGCAGTACTGATTCCTATTCCCGTACACCATGGCACTTTAACCACCCACCTAAGAATAAGCATAGAACAGAGCCTCCCTGATAACTTAAAAGCAGTGTGGGATTACACAGTAAGGAAAATGTGGTCATCGTCTTAAAGAAAAGAGAGAAGAGAAAGGGGACTGATACAAATTAGACATATAACTACCACTTAGTCCACTGATTTACAGAGCTAGAAGGTCTTTCCAGGTCAACTTCCCCACTTTATTTATTTCTTTAAGATTTTATTTACTTATTTATTTGAGAGAGAGTGAGAGAGAGAGCACGCGCGCGCGAGCATGAGTTGGGAGGGGGCAAAGGAGGGGAAAGAGGGAGAGGGAGAAGAAGACTCCCCGTCAAGCAGGAAGTCCGACATGGGGCTCAATCGCATGACCCTGAGATCATGACCTGAGCCAAAGGCAGACGCTTAACCAACTGAGCCACCCAGGCGCCCCCAACTTCCCCACTTTGAAGATGAGAATGCTGACACCAAAAAAGCCAAACAAAGTTCTCGAAAGCAGAGCTAATGAGAAACAGAAGACTGTACATGGAAGACTGAGAAATATATAAAACTAATTAAAACAATTATTATTGATAGATTACAAGTACTGATAGATTACATATAGCCGGAGTAGTGCTTTGGAGAAATGATGGGCACCACACAACCAGACTGTGCTGTCAAAACTCTTCTCTTCATTCTTTGGTGTGCCCCTTCATCCTCCTACAACATGTGATTCCCACAAGGCAGCTTCTCAAAGGGTAGTATCCTTGGACCACCTACATCAGAAGCACTTGGGCCACTTGTCAAAAATGCAGGTTCCTGAGCACCACTGCAGACCCATTTGGAAAGAATCAGAATATCTAAGGCAGGAGTCCAGGAGTATACATTTTAATAAGCACCCTAGGTGATCCTGATGTGTATCAGAAGTTGAGAACTACTGCCATAGAGATTTGAAGTATTTTCTGAAGATACAGTGTTCTAGACAATAAGCATGAAGCATGGTGGTATTATATAAATGATCCAGACTTTATAACATATAATAGGAATAAACACTGTGTGAACTGATGCTATTTTAAATGTCTCTCCATAGTTTTAGCTGAATTCACCGTAGTGGGACTAGACGTAACCCAAAGTGTCCTTCAAGAAATAAGTCTGTCTTCTTAGTTCATCTTTAATCAGGTCTATCGTTAACACGGAATCAGCAGTCTGTGCCTGACTAGATTTACAGGAAGCCCCCCCTCCCCTCCAAAGCGCCCACCTGTTCCAAGAGCACAACAACCGGCCGGCGTTCACCCGAGCATTCACCCCCTTTAAGAAGCAACCTGCTTTGCACATTACCTCCAGTAGGGTAATAGCTCCAGTGAAATCTCTTTGCGAAAGTAGCTCCTCTAATTTCGGAATCTTCCTACCTTTCTTCTTTCTTTTGTCGGTGTGCGGTAGGTCCCCGCCTACAGCAGGTTTGGCCCTTGAAAGCATCTGTGAAGGAAGCAACGAAGACAGCTGTGTCATCGAACTCCGATTGTCAGTTTTAAACGTGGAGCCACAGCTCCAGAATCTGCAAGTCAAATTTTTACCAACGAACCTCAGGGAAACCCGTTCAAGCTCTCGGTATCACCGTATTTTACTGAAAGGGCCATCACCCCGCACTTGAGCTGAACCCAACGATTACCACACCTAATCTTCTTTATCAATTCATTCGAGCGGGCTAAGCGATGCTTTCGCGCAGCTTCTGTCATCTCCGCCTTTCCTCGATCTGCCTTCCACCCCCGTGCGGAGAAACGGAGAAGCAGAGGGAAGAAAGCTTCGAGGTGTTTACAGTTGCATCCCTGTCTCCCGTGAGAACCGGGGTAAGGCTGGGAAAGCATCCTCCGCTGACACTCCTAGACTTCACCCAGAAGTGTGCTGGGAACCTCCGATCTCCGGTCCTAGGTTCCACTCAAGGTTCTCCCTCACTGTTCAGAGCCACTAACCATCTTGGCGTTGGTTCGGTGAGCCCCTTTCCGGGACCGACAGACAGGAGAGGCCCAGCCTCAACGCCTCACGGCGTGCACACAGCTCTCTTCGTCTCCACGGCAACCCGGCGGGGGTGGGGTCTGGTTCGTCAACGAGAAGCGCTCTCAGGAGAACAGATGCCCACGGCTATTTGGTTCCGCCCGACTCCATCGCCGAAGCAGTGGAAGTTCTTCTCTTTGAGGAGGAGAGGCGTCGTTCTGGGTTCTGGGAGTGAAAGTTTGTTTCTCTACTTACGGGTTTGCATTAAGAAAAAACGAATTCGATCAGCATGCTTTTTCAAATACGAGTTCCTGGGGAAAGTCATTTTGAAGGACCACTTCCGATTTGGACCGTGTTGGGCTCCATAGCAACACCCGGCGCTGACTGGCACGTGATCCTGGGCCACGGGACTCCGGGAAGCTTAGAAAGAATCGCTGAACCGAGGAGTTGGCGTTTATGGGCGGGAGTTCACCAAAATACAATTCCTTATCTACATACGTAAACATAATAAGGAACTGTAGTAAATATATGTTGATTGGACGACTTAATTTATCGACTTTATTCCTGAATCGAGTTCATAAGGCTGCAGGAGGATGAAACCATCGCATCGTGGAATGTTAGAGCTGGAAGGAACCTTAAAGGACATGCAGTCCAAACCTTGTAACCCGACCGAAGGAGAGCTCGTCTACCCGACGGGCAGCAAGCCAGTAACAACTGACACGGACCTTCTGCAGAAGTGAAGAAATTTATTGATGGGGGCGCCACCCCGGAGAAGGAGGGAGTTGATGCTCAAAAGTCCCAAACTCCACAGTGCCTTACAAGCAGGGGTTTTTTAAAGGGCGAGAATCCAGGGTAAGGGTCTCAGGGCCTTGGGTCATGGTGGTTGATTACGGGTTAGGCCAGCTATAATATTTCCCTTCTTGATCATCTTATCCCTTCTGGTGTCTCCCAGTCTGGTTTCGGTGTGATTGTAGCGAGGTGGTCGTTCTGCTTTAGGGGCTTGGAACTGCGAAACATTCTGAGCAGATTGCATTGGTGATGTCATCTCTAGAGTACAAAGGCGAAAGTTCTACATCCCGTAACTATGGCTAGGCTGCAAATTATTGTTTTTCTTCGTGCATACATGTCACATTATGTTTGTTATCTCAGGCAGAACAGTATCCCACTGACCTTTTGGGAGGCAACTTTACATTATTTCCTGAGGCAATTTTACAGGTTTCTTTAACAGTAACTAAGGACTATATGACTCTAGTCAGAGGCAGCTGGGAGCAATATGTCTGAACTGTGGGGTCTGTCAGCGCTTGCCTCCCAAGTTTCACCCTGAGAATTAGCAGACTAAGGAACTAACATCTGGAGTATTCTCCCAAGTGTATAGGTAGTTGTGGCATAGCTGAATTACCTCACAGACCACTCTATACAACTAGCCCTGTAGAGACTCCTGTATACTGTAAGCTTTAAAAGGTCACATGGGGTTTGCTAGATTTTTTTGCATCCTCCTCATGCTCCAGCCCTTGTCTCCTACCACTCATCACTTGGTGAATGAGTAAATGACTACATGCCATAATTCACTGATACATACACTCTTGTATAGGTCCTTATATTCAGAGATAGGAACATGCGTAGACTTAAGAAATGCACAAATTCACCAGCACTATACTTATATTTCTTTTGGTTCCAAATGTTAGAAATACGCCTACTTTTGGTTTATTTAAAGCAAAATTATTTTTTTAATTATTTTTTTAAAGAATTTATTTATTTATTTGACAGACAGAGATCACAAATAGAGAGGCAGGCAGAGAGAGAGGGGGAAGCAGGCTCCCTGCCCAGCAGAGGGCCGGATGTGGGGCTTGATCCTAGAACCCTGGGATCATGACCTGAGTGGAAGACAGAGGCTCTAACCCACTGAGCCACCCAGGTGCCCCTAAAGCAAAATTATTTTTAAGCTCTTCTTTAAAGAAGTCTACATATTTTTGTAATTGCTTTATTCCACTATCATTCAAATATTGAACTCATCTTTTTAAAGCACATAATTCCCTGACTTTAAGTACAAGTATCCCCTGCTTTTTGGAAGTTGAAGTTTGGCTCCTTTGCTTTTATGGAAAAGCTGCATTAGTACCTGCTTTTGCCAACTGAAAGAAATCTGAAGAGGGTTTTCACTTTTACAAAGAAAAGGGAAAATAGCACGCAGCATTTATTTTGCATCTAGAGGGGCAGCTCACGCTTGAGCAGTGAAGACTGGCACTGTCAGGCTCCTTTCCTGGGAGCCACACTCAGCATCCCAGCAATAAGCCATCTGAGCTTTGAATTGTGTCTCTAAGCATCCGTGCTTTATCTAGATTTATTCTGTGCATCTGTTAGCAAGGTATCAGAAAAGCTTAAGAGAGGTGATTTTTTGGATCTGGCAGAACTCATAATTTTCCCATATAAATTAATAGTAATTGCTTTTTTATTTTTTAGATTTATTTATTTTAGAGGGAGAGAAAGAGTGCACAAGCAGGGGAAGGAGCAGAGGGAGGGGAACACAAGCAAATTCTGTGTTGAGCATGGAGCTTGATTCAGGGCTCGATCCCATGACACTGAGATCATGACCTGAGCCAAAATCAAGAGTTGGTTGCTCAACTGACTGAACCACCCTGGTGCCCCAAGGATAATTGCTTCTTTGCTTTAGGACATTTTAGCTTAGGAAAGTTTTCTTAGGAACACTCTGCTTTCAGATAGTGGGGGAACCTGTATTCAGAGTTGTGTATCCATCACCAGTGTGAAATTCTGGAACACATTCATCATCTGTAAAAGAAACCCCACATCCATCAGCACTCATTCATCTTCCCTCTCCTGCCTTTAGCCTCTGGCAACCACTAATCTATTTTTTGTCTCAATGGATTTGCTGGAGATGGCAGTGTGGAAAGAGAACGCATAGCCCAGAGCTTCTCTCGCCAGGGGCTGAGGGCAGCATTCCCAGTAACAGTGCAAACAAACTTGTAGATATTGCTAAATCCATTGAATTGATCTCTGATTTCCAGTAGTTTGGGATACTTCTTGAAACCTCCAAATCCCTGTGGAGGCTGTTTGAACCTTAGCTCTATTTATGAAGGGCAGAATATAGCATATTGAGTGTTCTTGAGAAGAAGCTATTCCCAACTACAATTGAATCGGTGTTACAAACCTAAGATAAGATAAAAACACAAAAGCTGGTTGCACGGGTAAGAGGCAGAATTGGAATGGCAACTTTATTGCAGTTGCAATAGAACAGCAGTTTTGGAGAGACTATAAAAAAATAATCCACACTGCGGTGATGGTTGTATGACTATGTAAATTTACTAAAAAACAATGAATTGTACACTTAAAACAGGTGCATTTTATGATATGTGAATTGCACCTTGCTAGATCTATAGGTTTTTAGAAAAGATTTATTTGTTTATTTTGGAGAGAGAATGAGAGAGTCCTGCATTGGACTCCACACTGGGCATGGAGCCCACTTTTAAAAAAATAAATAAAAAATAAAAAGTTGATCTTCGCAGATGATATGATACTATATGTGGAAAACCCAAAAGACTCCACTCCAAAACTGCTAGAACTTGTACAGGAATTCAGTAAAGTGTCAGGATATAAAATCAATGCCCAGAAATCAGTTGCATTTCTCTACACCAACAAGACAGAAGAAAGAGACATTAAGGAGTCCATCCCATTTACAATTGCACCCAAAACTATAAGATACCTAGGAATAAATCTAACCAAAGAGACTAAGAATCTATACTCAGAAAACTATAAAGTACTCATGAAAGAAATTGAGGAAGACACAAAGAAATGGAAAAATGTTCCATGCTCCTGGATTGGAAGAATAAATATTGTGAAAATGTCTATGCTACCTAAAGCAATCTACACATTTAATGCAATTCCTATCAAAGTACCATCCATTTTTTTCAAAGAAATGGAACAAATAATCCTAAAATTTGTATGGAACCAGAAAAGACCTCGAATAGCCAAAGCAATATTGAAAAAGAAAGCCAAAGTTGGTGGCATCACAATTCCGGACTTCAAGGTCTATTACAAAGCTGTCATCATCAAGACAGCATGGTACTGGCACAAAAACAGACACATAGATCAATGGAACAGAATAGAGAGCCCAGAAATAGACCCTCAACTCTATGGTCAACTAATCTTTAACAAAGCAGGAAAGAATATCCAATGGAAAAAAGACAGCCTCTTCAACAAATGGTGTTGGGAAAATTGGACAGCCACATGCAGAAAAATGAAATTGGATCATTTCCTTACACCACACATGAAAATAGACTCAAAATGGATGAAGGATCTCGATGTGAGAAAGGAATCCATCAAAATCCTTGAGGAGAACACAGGCAGCAACCTCTTCGACCTCAGCCGCAGCAACGTCTTCCTAGGAACATTGCCAAAGGCAAGGGAAGCAAGG